AGCGGGCCGGGCAAATGAGGCAGGGAAGCCTCCTGTCCCAAGTCCCACAGCACACGCGGCACAGACAGGGAGAGTAGGCCGGGACACGGAAACCGTGACCCAAGCACACTCACCCATGCCGGAGCAGCGGAGAGCGGAGGGCGAGGACAATGATACTCAGAGGGACGGGTCCCTGCTCCAGACATCTTCAGCGGGCGTGAGAGGGCATCACGTCAGCCCGAAGGTGTGGAGCCCCGACACCCATGAATACTTATTCAGCCAGCTTGCTCCCAGAACTGCTTGCTCCCTCGTTCAATGGTCAGCGCAACACACGCAGCCGGAGCAAAGAGCATCTCATGAGGCTGGGCGTTGAGCAGCCCTAAAGCACGCTCCCTTGGACATAGGAGCTCACAGGCATCACGCAGATGCGGGTGATGGCTGATGCGGCATTCGCCCAGCACATGAATGTAGGGAGCCCATGTCTTCTTGTTGCAGAAAATGCAGCAGCGAACTTTGGCCTGCGACTTACAACCATTTACATGAGCCAAGTCAAGCGTGCCAGCTCTCAGCCGACACAGGGCCCGATGCCCCAGAAGCGCTTCCCAAGGCAGCGAGACAGAGAGGAGAGCAGCAGGAAGAGGAGAGGGACCGGAGGACAGCAGAGAGAAGGGGAAAGGAACCAGATGACCAGAGCAAGACGACCAGAGCACAGCAGAAGCCGCAGACGACAGCAGGGAGCGAACAAGGACGAGGTACGATTTGACAGAACCGCAGCCCTCTGCATCCGGGTAGTCAGGGATGTCGTGCTCTTCCAACAATGTCAGGCTCCTGCGTGCCCAGGAAAGTGGCACGGCATGCGACTGGATGAAGATCTCGCCATACAAATCCCCTTGAGGCAGCGTCCACAGCCTAGCCCTCCGACCAGCAATGTCTAGAAGTGCGCGATGACGACCACATAGTCCCCATCCGAGTTCCATGTGTGCAATGGCAGCAGAGCGCCATGGCGGACTGTGCAGGAGAGCACACGCCCAACGGTTAAAGGCGGCGTCATACTTATCCAAGGCCCCAGGAGCGGTCGCCAGTAGCCATCGTCCAAACCGCAGGCTACCCTCTACCTTTGCATCAAAAAGAGCGAGTGCAAAGCAGAGCGGCAGGCCGCCATTGTCCAGCAGACTAACAATGTCAGAAACCAGCAGGTTTCCTCTTTGTATACTCGACTCTAGCGCAGAAGCGAAGTCAAGGTTTGCAGGCCACACAAGCCCCAACCACTTGTGCCGGGTCTTGGTATGTATGGGGCAAGGAGCAGCACCGATGAGTGGAAGCACAAGACGCGGATCCATCTCACCTTCAGGTAGGAGCACAACAGTTTTTGCAGGTCCCACATGGAAGGTAGCTTTGTGAGCAAAGGCCCACCTTGCAACATCATCAAGCACTGCCATGGCGGCTCCTCGGCAGGAGCAGACAATAACTGGGTCATCTGCATGCAATACCAGGTTGATACGCGACGCAGCCATGCGATCAATTGCACGAAGACATGAGGCCATAAGGGTCTCGTCCCTGCAGATGCTGTCCGGGCTTGGCAATGGAGCACGACCCTGAAGTGCTTCCAGCAGTTGTAGCACCACGGCTTCGTCTGGCACCCCTTGCCAATGCCAAGCGACATGTTGCCAGGCCGAGGGTACAGTACAACCAATGCCAAGGCCATGTCCTCTGTCTTTTAGAAGCACGGTGAGAGAGTTGAGCCACGTGGTAAAGCCTGCAGGCCCTAAGACCCCACCTTCTGGAACGCCTTCAAATTTGACCAGCGCGGAGAGGCCATGCAGATTAAGCACGGGCGCATCCCAAAAAAGCATATCAGCAAGTAGGCCACGACCGCCTCCATCTAGGCCTGCTTGAAGACAAATTTGAGTAAGGAAGTCATCCCGCCATGTTCTTGGAAAGGCACGCGCCAGGTCACCCATGATGGTAAGGATGGGAAGTCCAGAGGCCCGCCGCGCAGCAGTGAGTTCATGTAGAACTAGCTGGGCGTCGGAGACATCACGCACGTAGCCTGACTGCCCTGGTTCGATGCCACGCAGAAGACATGGCTTGATTCGATTGATGAGAACAGCTTCCTGTAACAACCCCATTTGCGAGCGGACTTCCAGAAATCGCCAGTTGTCAGGTGAAATGACAAGGCCCTGCTTATGCTTAGGAACAACAAGCGTCCGTCGCCAGAGGTCAGGTTTGAAGGCTAAACACCCTGGCCCTAGCAACCTGAGAAGCAGAAAACAGCAGGCATCCCACTCCCTGTTGCGTAGGAGGAACGCCGTTCTTGGAATTAGATCTGGTGTTGTGGCCAGAGACTTGCTCCACTTGTCCATAACAACAGATACTTCACTTTGTAGCACGGGTGCATCGTACGCCCCGCGTCCTCGATTAGCCCATGCACGCGGGTTCTCTGCTTGACACGATGCTTTGACCTGGGCATCGTAGCTAGCATCCCACGGATACGGCCATTCACTTTGTCCCAGAAAAGCCTTGCACCATTCAGTGTGCACCACCCCACCAGTCAAGATGGCACCATCTTTTACAAGGCAAGGCAGAGGAGAAGGCGAGGCAGGTTTCAGAAATCGAAAGCAGCGGTTCGCCAGTGCACGCGGAGCAGCACCGCGCGCACAAGAAGCTGCTAGCTTGCGGAACCACGGGTCTTCAGGTCCCATGGCCCCGCCAGCATGAGCACATTGGTAAGTACGCATTGGTGCGTTCCACGGTCTCACGACCCAGCCTTGTAGAACAGTCGTCGCTATGAAAGTTTGCACCCATGTGGCTGCATTTCCAATCCATTGCGCAAGTTTCTTCTTCAACTTGCAGCAGCTTCGCATGCCATCGCTGTTACAAGCGACAGGTTGCAAGAGCCTGTTGAATGACTGCAGGGCACCGCCTGCAGCTAGCCATCCTGCCCGCCATCTACTTTCGTCATGTAGCCATAGCGGCATGCCCCCTGTTTGGCGCATCTCAGGCAGGAGAAAGTCGTCAACGACATCAGCATGCATCAGGAAGTGGTCACCTCCAGTGTATTCTACGCACAAAGGCCATGGACATTCCTGTTCCTTGCAGCAGTTTAGAGAGTTGTGAATTGTGACCTCCACATCTACAGAGGGTGAGGCCACAACGAGGTCAATGGCACGAGAGGTACCGCCTGCAGCATCGTGATGAGTATCCCCAGGCCGGATCTGCACCGTTTTCTGGCGCAATGGCAGCAGCACAGGAACTGCTGGACAACTTCTGAGGCTTGGGTTGGCAACCGTGAAACAGTGCATCTCAACAAAGCTATTCCACCGACGTTCCCTTTGCACCCTGCGATCGGGTCCAGCTCCAAGCAGACCTGGTTGTATGTTCATGTCCCCTAGCAGCAAAACATCCAGTTTGTTTCCATCGGAAGCAAACTCACACTCAAGATGTCTGAAGTCATTATCAAGACCATCAAGTTCGTTGCACCATGCAGCATCCCCATGCGAGGCATTGTCTGGAGGCAAATAGACCGCACTGATGAAAAGCGGCGGTTTATTCACTCTAGGAATGGCCAGGTGGAGGCGTCTGGGCCCTCCTACATTGGCCAGAGGAACAATTGCCTGCAATTCCTTCCTCCACATGATAGCACAGCTGTCAAAGTTTTGGCCCTTTCGGCACAAAGACTGCAAGCACCAGTCATCAGGTGCCTTGAAATTATCAGGTAAGCGTGCTCCTGGCAAGATAATCAGGTCCAAGTCCAGAGCACGAATTGCCTGCAAAATACCTGTTTGTTCATGCGTAAAAGTACTCCACTTGATGTTTTCTCCTCGCGTAGCAACACATCCAGACATGCTTGGCGATCCAAGTCCCACACGCAGTCTGTCCCGGACACACCCTTGCGGTTGTTGCTCCAGCCTAGAATAAAGAGACAAACACTCCAGCGCATGCACCCTTCCAAGCAACAATGTCTCATGCAGCTCCTTTGCCAACACACTGAAGCAGTCACCTCGCGACACAAAGAACTGCAAGATTCCTTGCGCGCGATCAATGAGCCAATTGGCCTCCTGTAGCAAGCTTCGCCAGTGTTCCTTAAGAAGGCACACCACCCCTGGAAGCAGCACCAGCTGTAAAACACATTTCTTGACCAGAGCCTTCACCTCACACGGCAATCCCATGGTTACTGAGACGGTCGTATCAGCACAGCACACAGCCCTTTAGCCATAGCATTCCTAGACAGCTCTTCAGAAGCCAAAACCATCGGCATGACGTCAATGCTGCAGCCACGCAGACATTATGCACGTCAAGCAGTCCGCAACCTTGGGGCTTAAGGGTTTGGGATTGGGAGTTCCGGGTTGTAGGGTTTAAAGCTTGGGGTTTCGGATTGAGGGTTTAGGGAGATCAGGGTTTGAGGTTCAGGATTTAAGGTTGTTTAGGGTTTAGGGTTTAGGGTTTAGGGTTTGGGGTTTAGGGTTTGGGGTTTAGGGTTTAGGGTTTAGGGTTGAGGGTTTGGGGCCATTGCAGGGTCCTTCTATTGAGGATCTCACTGTTTGGAGACGACGACATTGTCATGGATGATCGACCAAGCCGGGGCAACCAACCGTCTCATGAAAAACACCCATTGTTCGGCCGTTCTACTGCAGGGTGTCGGGATTGAGGAGTTAAGGCGTTCCCGAACCACCCTTCACCCTAAAATCCCAAACCCTAAACTTCCTGAACCCGGAGACTTTCGCAGCGGAGATGCTGAGATGAAAACTTCGTCGGCTTTGGGAGGACCAGCACCATGTCTTCCTTCAACAGGGGAAGCGGCTTCTAGAGGAGTCTCTGGGTTGACGGGCTTTAGGATTTAGGGTTTCGGGGCCTTTAGCACTAGGACACCAGTCATGGGCAGGGAAGATTTAAAGGTTGAATATAGGGGCCTTAATAGTTAGACTAGGGTTTTGGGGCCCACTATACTATAATAAGAAGCAGGAACCCCCAAAATAGTGTTGGTAATTATTTAAGCCCCTATAAGTATGCAGCGAGAAAGTTCATAGGCGGAGATCGACATCGACCAGACGGCAGAAGGTAAGAGAAGGCTCTGCCGTACCCTTGCTGCTCTTGCTGGCCCAGTAGGGGCGCTAAAGGCTGACTTTTAGGATTACATAGAGGGATTATATACTAACCCAGACAGATTAAAGGTTACATACTCTACCACAAAAACCCTGAACCACTCTGCTAGTAAGATCTGCTTGCCCAACCTCCTTCAGCTCTTCGCATCGTGCGCCAAGCTGCTCGACCTCTAGGGTCCGAGATTTAGGGTTTAGGGTTTAGGGTTTAGGGTACGTGTCTCGGCCAGTTCTCCGCCGCCCTCGGCCAGCCTCCTTGAGACATGCACCCCATGCACTTTAGGTTTTAAGGTAGCGTCGGCTTGGGGGATAAAGTTAAGGATTGCGTGGAGGCTCAGGGGACTTAGCAAGTAGCTTCTAGGTCAGGATTCCTCGACATGCTAAGGAAAGCTATTTACAGCAAGGTATGATACGAAACGGTCATCGTCAAAAATCTCCCAGAGTTCACAGGAACACTCATGAAAACGTCAAAGAGACTGGGCAGAATAAACCTGCTAAAACTGAAAAAGATTAATATAAGGGCCTTGATAATTAGAATAGGGTTTTGGGGCCCATTATACTATAGATACAGTGAAAAGAAGGAAACCTACACAACATTATCCGAAATTATTAAGGCCCCTATAGCACTTGGAGAAGGGCCTTGCCCACACCAGTCATGCCCAGGCAGACGCCCGACTTGTTCAGCTCCTGTCCGAATCTCCACTGTGCAGGGCTCCATGACGGGGCTGTTCGGCGGGCTTTTGGTTTGGGGCTTTGGGGTTTAGGGTTTAGGGTTGGGGGTTTAGGAAATATGGGGGTTGCGGGATTCTAGGTGTGTTGGGCGATTTCAGGACTGTTAGAATGTGGGAATCTTTTTTAGGGACTGTGAGTGTGAGGTTCGGGGGTCTGGGATTTTAAGATAGGTAAGGTTTCGGGTTGGTGACGGGTTGGGGTTAAGAGCAGTCTGGGTTGCGAGATGTGGCATGATGGGATTCTGGCCTCTCCAAACCGATGCGTTTAAGGCTTTAGGGGATGTAGAATCGAATCCCTAACCCATAACCCCAAAACAAATGGGGACAATCCGGCCAACAGACCACAGGCAAGGATAGACTACCGGAGACCAAGACCAACGAGAAACAGTTTTCGGGTAATATGCAGCTGGCCGGCTCGTCAGTCAAAAACAATGCAATCTCACAAACTTTCAGCCTTAACTATACTTCCGAAAGCTAACAAACTCAGCTATGACCAGTGCGAGCCGGAAACCCTACCCAGAGAGCCTATGATTTCAGCTAAGTTGTAGTCAACAGGTAGTTCTTGGGCTCTCAGCGGAGTCCCGCAAACGACTCAACCCCGAACCCCTAAACGCAAAGTCCTGAACTCCCAGCCTGCAACCCGAAACACCAAAAGGCACTACCCTAACTACGCTGGAGACTATGGGTGGTGGTAGTGGTAGTGGTAGTGGTAGTGGTAGTGGTAGTGGTAGTGGTAGTGGTAGTGGTAGTGGTAGTAGTAGTAGTAGTAGTAGTAGTAGTAGTAGTAGTAGTAGTAGTAGTAGTAGCAGTAGTAGTAGTAGTAGTAGTAGTAGTAGTAGTAGTAGTAGTAGTAGTAGTAGCAGTAGCAGTAGGAGTAGTAGTAGTAGTAGTAGTAGTAGTAGTAGTAGTAGTAGTAGTATCCTTGAATCCTTAAACTACCCTATATACCTCTTCGTGCCCCTTAAGGATCCCCGTATCTTAGGTGCTGCAACGCACCCAGCCCCCGGGCTCCGCGTAGACCATGGAGTCATCCACCGGCACGGCCAACATGCGGATCACAATCTCCTTGAAAGGACACACCCTAAACCCGAAACCCTAAACTCCTAAACCAAACCCTAAACCCTAAACCCCTGAAACCCTACACCCTAAACCCTAAACCTTCAGACCCAACTCCAAAATGCTAAGACCGAACCTTAAGCCTGAACGCTGAACCCCGAGACCCAACCTTACAGCTTGGGGGTATATGGGCTTCAGGGGTTTAGGGTTTAGGGTTTAGGGTTTAGGGTTGTCAAGATTAGGGTCCCTTTTTGGGTCTTAATAGGATACGGCACCTAATATTTAGGGTACCCCAAAAGGGGCCATAATTTTGACAACCACCCATATTGTTGTAAACTCATGACATCAAGGAGCCCTGAGGAATAATTGGCAATGAGTCATGCACTCATAGTATAGCCCCCTTTGGACCCAAAATAAAAGCAAGTACAATGATCCCCTTCATGATTTCTATAACCGTTCCATATGGAGGTGTCCAAAAATAGGTGACCTTAGTGTAGTACCCTAAAAGGTACGATACTCATTGTAAGGACCCCAAACTAGGGTAGCCCTTACTTTCGGAAACTGCAAACCCTAAGCGTTTAAGGAAGCTTTAAAGGATCCCGTGCCGGCTCTGCCGTCGCAATCGGGTCGCATCGTGGTCAATGGACTTCTTCACCGGACGGGGCTTCGACCTGAGATGGAGCTTCCTAGTAGAGGGTTTAGGGTTTAGGGCTTAGGGGCTAGAATGGGGGCCTTAATAATTAGAATCGGGTTCCTTTCAAGGGGATGTCTGGGGTTCTTCGAGAAGGGCCATAACCAAGGGTTCCAGAATATAGGGGCCTTAATGACGAGAATAGGGGATCTATAAGGGTTTAGGGTTCCTTTGAAGGGGATTTAGTATAGGAGCTTCCTATCCCTGCGAAGCCAAACTGACAACCATGAGACACCTAGTATAGGGGCCGTAATAAGTAGCATAGGGTTTCGGGGGGTTTGTATTATACTATCGTTATAATAATGAACCCGAAAATAGTGTTGGTAATAGTTAAGGCCCCTATAGAAGCCATTCGAAGTCACACTGCAAACCATGCGACACCTAGCCTAAACCCTAAGCCCCGAACCTTAAAGACTACTTTGCTTCACGAAGACCTGTCATCCCATCCCGATGCAAGACGCTCCGGCACATTCTTCATGGTTGAAGCAGCTTGATGCCTACTTTGTGTCCGTATAAGAACAGACACGTGCATACAAAGCATAGTCAGCCTAACTATCATCAACACCATCATCATCATCATAGCCTTCAACATCATCGGCCATAGGTTTGACTATCATCATCAGGGTCATCGATCACCGACACACCACCCTAGCCAAAGTCATCGAAACCGCAGTCATCCCTTCTGCCCCCATCATCCTCGGAGCCGCCTTCAACTTCATCGCCACTGCTCTATTCACGTCCGTCGTTAGCAGCAGCAGCAGCATCAGCATCAGCACGACCGGCGCAAAGGGCAAGAGCAGCACCCATGCCACCAACATCATCATCAGCGTCACCACCCAACACTTCATGGCAAGCACCATCGTGGTCATCACCGCCGTCCTTGCCGGTAACAATACTCGGAAAAAGCAAGAGGAGCAGGACCCTGCACTACTCGCGCCCTGTAGCCACCATCATCATCTCAATCGGCGTCCGCAATCAAGAAAACCCACAGAGACGCAACCTTGGAGATCATGACAGGAATTCAGACGAGGATGATGGTGCTCCAGAGGATGCTGACGGAGGAGGACGAGGAGGCGGCTATGAGGGTGATATCGGTGATGTGATGGTACTGTTGAGTATGACCGTCATCATTCTCACCATCATGAAGCCTCTAAGAAGGATGCGAGGAGCGCAAAGATTACAACCGGACTAGGGACCGGTCTATTGGATCGCAGAGCCCTAACAATCCGTGTAAAACACTAAACTCCAAACCTCCAAAACCCCCAAACTTTAAGTTTAGGGTTTGGGGTTTAGTGCCCTAAACCCTATAACCTAAAACAAAAACAGAACCCTAAACCTCAAACCCTTAGCCCCCAATCCTTGCTTTTTTTCGCTCGGCGGCTGTACTTGCACCGCCCCACCCAGCACCTGGCCGTAGGCGTCGGTCTTCGGCCTGGCAGTCAGAGCCCAAAAGGGGTTTAGGGTTTAGGGTGTAAGGTTTAGGGGTTTAGGGTGTAAGGTTTTGGGTTTAGGGTTTAGGGTGTATCGCTTGGGGTTTAGGGTGTAAGGTTGAGGGTTTAAGGTTTAGGGTTCAGGGTGTAAGGTTTAGCGTGTATATAAGGTGTAGGGTTTAAGGTTTAGGGTGTAAGGCTTAGGGCTTAAGGTTTAGAGCCGTTTAGGGTTTAGGGTGTAAGCTTTGGGGGTTAATGCTTAGGGTTTAGAGCGTAAGGTTTAGGGTTCGGGATTTAGGGTTTAGAAACTTTTTTTTGGGAGGAGGGTTTAGGTGTTAGGGTTGTAGAAGGATCTTTATAGGGTTATGTAGGGTCCATGTACGCCTTGATGAAGGTGTCTACCCCCTAGACCGCCTTTCATCAGAAGATTATGTCTCTTACGTTGGAGGCCTTTAAAGGTGGGATGAAGGTAGGTGGGACTGAGGATCCTGTATATCATGACTCTTATCTAGGACCACCTACCTTCATCCTATCTATGGAGGCCCCATATTATAGAATCGAAACGTAGATTCCTGAACTCACGGGTATCGGGCCTCTCTCTCTGAGGTCGCTAGGGTTTCGAGTCGGGATCTTAATGGCTCTGGGCTACCGGAAGGGCTTCTACAAAGTTGCGGTTTTACATAGGACTGTTTGGAGTTTAGGATTACAGGTTTTGGAGGCTTGATGTCTTTGGATTATTGATGTTAAAGGTTCTCGGGTATCGGGAACAGACTCCGAGCTTGGGTTTGGAGTACAGCCTCGCGGCATACTTGCAATACATGTTTAATCCCATCGAAATCCCATTATTGAACCCCAAACCCCTTAGTCCTAACCTCTTTAATCCTTTCAAGCCCAGCTGCGAGCCCAGCACGTGCTGTACCAGCCCACTGTGCTTCACCTGCCGCGTCATCCTTGAAGCCACGCTGTTTAGTTCAGGGTTTGGGGTTCAGGGCGTAGGGTTTTGGGGGTTTGGGATTAGGTTTAGGGTCCAGGGTTTGGAGTTAAGTGTTTAGGGGCTTGTTTGAGGTGTTGCTTCTTAGGGGTTCGGGGTTGGGATTCAGTTCGGATAAGTGCCACAACAGGTAACTTCAAGGGTGGCTTGATGCCTGAAAGGTGCTTGGGTTCCCCTAAACCCCAAAGCCAACTACGCTACGCCTACGCCGTCATAGAGGAACATGCGTGAAAATCCTTATATTCAGCCTCTGGATAAGACCGTACTGACTTACTTGGCTTTGGGTTCAAGTTTAGGACAGAGCTTCTCTCTTCGAAATCTCGAGGGTTCGGGGTCTGAGGTCTCTAGAGGGCTCTGGTTTCTCGTCGTTTTTGTTTGGAGCCCTCGTGTCTTTGCGCCGCAAAGCATCCAGACTACCGTACCGGTTAAGGGAGGGGAAGACAATATAAGATCGAGTTTAGGATTTAGGGCTGGGTTTTGGGTTAAGGCTTTGAGGATGATCAAAGTTCAGGCATTCAGCTGGATTGGTTTTGAAGTGCAGTGGGGCCCCTTTCCCTCCCCAGAACTGTCCGCACAGGCTGGGTTTAGGATCTGGGGCTGGAGAATCAGTGACCAGAGTTTCACAACCCACTTAACCTTGAACCCTCAGCTGAAACTGCAGCCCTGAATCTTACTTCCGCCTAAACCCTCCAGTCATGAAACCATGAACCTTTCAGAGTCCAGCCGAGCGTCTCAGCGGCGTTGAACAGCGCTGTCTTCATGAAGTCCTTGTCCGTCATCACCTGAAAAGGGGCTTTTAAAAAATACCTATACTATTGTGGGGGTTCCTTATAATAGAAAACATGGGCCCCAAAACTCTGTTCCAATTATTAAGGTACAATTTGTTCAGGTTAAGGGCTTCGTGTTTCGAATCACATGGCAGCCTGAAGGGCAGCTAGAGCGAAGGGGTCTGTGAGTAGGGCTTTGTGTATCGAGTTCAAGGCTTTGGTGGTTGAGGGTGGTCCTCTAAAGCGGACGATCTGGCGGTTTGTCAGCTCAGAGATCATTATGGAGCTTCTGCCAAGTGTCCAATGAAGGGAACGGTACTGTGACTTCTAGTACTTTTGGTGAACTTCGTCTCAACAGCTCAGCGGACCCGAACCCAAAGACCTAAACCCTATAAACCCGAAAAGCAGAGGATCGGACCATTTCCTGCTGATCCCTTTGGCGGAGCCACTCTGCGAAACCCTCCTGGCAGTGGTACTTGGAGGCGGCAGCTTGCAGCTTTCGAGGGTTTCATATTTTGGGTTTAAGGTCTTAGGGGTTTAGGGTGTAGGGTTTTTGGGTTTAGGGATTAGGGTTTTAGGGTTTGGCTTCTGGGGGTTTAGGGTTTCAGGGTTTAGGGGCTCAGGGGTTTAGGTTTTTCAGGTTTAGGGTTGTTTGGAATAGGATTGTGGCTCTGCGTTTCGGGATGAGTTCAGGGCTTAGGGTACCATGACCCCCGGACAGTAGGGAAGTGCTGAGCCTCCTGATCCTCGAAAGTTGGGCTGCCAGGTTTTGAGGTATCTCGAAGCCCGGATGCCCTTGGATTTATTGCCTTTTGTAAGGGTTCACGGTAAATCCTAAGTCCAGCGGAGGTTCGGGGTCTGATGTGAAGAAGGGCTTAGCTCCTTGGATCAAGGATTTGGGGTGTAGAGTTTAGAACTTGGGTTTAGAGTTGGGGTGCTGCTGAGAATGGGTCTGGGACTTAGTTTGGAGCTGCCCATGAAAGGATTGGGACGACCAGGACGAAAGTCAAGAAGTCCTCCCCACATTCAACAGCTTAAGGTATGGAATTTCGGGGTGGACCTCACTTTCGAACGTGGGAGGGTTTTGACTGTGGCGTCTGAGGGCTCTTTGGGCTCCTAACCCTCAGTACCCCGAACACGAGCTCCGTCCCAGATCCTGAAAGGACCTGCGGTGAACTGTTGGACGATCAGTGCTGGGATTCCTGTTACTTACAACTAAATGTACCGGAGTGAGCCTTTAGCTAAAGCTGTGATGTTCCAAACTACTGGCAGTTTCTGTAGACCCTGACTCCTGAGATACCCTGACAACTACCAGGCGTAAATGTTCAAAAGGCTCCTCGTGCTCGCCCTGAGGGCCCTTCGAGATGCGCTCCTGCAGGGAACTTCGGCTGCATTACTGCTCATACATCTGACCATGTTAGTGCCTGTCGTGAAGATTTGTGCAAGTACGCTTGGTGACGATAGCGGTGACATCAATATTGACGGCAGTGATGGAGATGAGAGAGGAGCGCGCCGAGCAAGTTCATGCCTGCAGCAAGGAAAAGGTGGTGGCGGTGGTGGTGGTGGTGGTGGTGGTGGTGGTGGTGGTGGTGGTGGTGGTGGTGGCGGTGGTGGTGGTGGTGGCGGTGGTGGTGGTGGTGGTGGGGGTGGTGGTGGTGGTGGTGGTGGTGGTGGTGGTGGTGGTGGTGGTGGTGGTGGTGGTGGTGGTGGTGGTGGGGGTGGTGGTGGTGGTGGTGGTGGTGGTGGTGGTGGTGGTGGTGGTGGTGGTGGTGGTGGTGGCGGGGGTGGTGGTGGTGGTGGTGGGGGTGGTGGTGGCGGTGGTGGTGGTGGTGGTGGCGGTGGTGGTGGTGGCGGCGGCGGGGGTGGTGGTGGTGGTGGTGGTGGTGGTGGCGGTGGTGGTGGTGGTGGCGGTGGTGGTGGTGGTGGCGGTGGTGGTGGTGACGATGATGATGGTGATGATGTTCATGATGATGGTGATGGTGATGGTGACGGTGATGGTATTGATGACGACGATGATGATGACGGTGACAATGACAATGATGAAGATGATGACCATCATGCAGATGCTGTGCTGCTGCTGCTGCTGCTGCTGCTGCTGCTGCTGCTGCTGCTGCTGCTGCTGATAGAAGAAACACGAGAAACAGAAGCTCGAGACTGCTGCTTGGATGAGGCTGCTGCTATACCCAAAAAAACCCGAAGCCCCACGAAGCCCCACCATCCTAAAACCCCCAAAACCCCCGAGGCCCAAACCCCTAAACCCCCGGATCCCCGAAGCCCAAGTCCTCCAAACTCCCAAACCCCAAACCCCGAGCCCTAAACCCCCAAATCCCCCGAAGCCCAAGTCCTCCATGTTCACCACCGCCTTCTCGTCCGCCTCTTTGCTTCGACCCTCCTGCAGGATTTCAGGCTTTAGGAAGCGCCATGGTGCTTAGGGTTTAGGGCTTAGGGCTTATCGGTGAGGGCATAGGGTTTAGGGCTCAGGGTTTAGGGTGTAGGGCTTAGGGTTTAGGGCTTAGGGTTTAGAGTTTAGGGCTTAGTGTTTAGGGCTTAGCGCTTAGGGCTTAGGGTTCAGGGTTTAGCGTTCTATGAGGTTTGTCAACAAGGTTTTCTCGAACTCTACTATAAGGTCTAGTGTTTAGCTTATATTGGAAGGGTGTTTGTTCGACTGCTTTGGACTTCGGGTTGAGCCGCTTAAGATTCAGTGCTTTCAGTGATCGGGGGTTTATCTTTAAAGTCTGAGATTTAAGATTTAATATACCCCCTACAACCATATCAAAGATACTATTTATATATATATATATATACATATTCATTCACTTGGATTTTTTATATGAGCCAAAAAAACAACGATTCCTAAGGAGACCGCAGTTTACAGTTTACAGCTTTAAGACTTCGGGCTTTCTGGGTTCAGGATTGAGCCCCTTGAGGGGTTTAGGTTGAGGGTTTAGGGTTTAGGGTTGAGGGTTTAGGGTTTTGGGTTTAGGGTTTGGGGTTTGGGGTTTGGGGTTTAGGGTTTAGGGTTTAGGGTTTAGGGTTTAGGGTTTAGGGTTTTGGGTGAACATAGAAGTGGATAGGGGTTTAGGTTTTCGGGTGTGGGGCTTCGGGTTTAGGGTTCAGGGATTTGCGGTTTGGCGTTTAGGGCGTGGGGCTCCAAGCGCACCGTTGGGGTCAGGAATCGTCAGTTTTTAGGATTTAGGGTTTAGGGTTTATGGTAGAAGCCCAGAAAGTTGGAACATTAGACTCCTCATGCCCTTAAGGTAAAGTATAAGGGATCCTAGCACTAATCCTCCTAAACCCATGTTCCAACTTTTTGGCTTCTACTGTAGCCTCAAGCCACGAAGAGCAGAATACTGGAAGTAGGATTTACGGTTCAGGATCAATTGGAAGCCCTGCTGGCCCTGGCTCATTCCGAGCAGCTTCCTCTGCATCTTAACAGACCTTACAGGGTTGTCTTGCTATGAGGAATCCTGGTGGGTGTTGTACATAATAAGAATACAATTATAATAATAGCAATAAGAATGAGAATAATAATAATAATGATAGCAATCATAGTATTAGTAATCATAATATATTATAAATCAACTGCTCAAGCCGACAGTGGTAGACTTCTAGTTTGTCGCTTGGGAATCAGTGAACATGAAGAGGTCATGAACTCGTCATCTCGCGCTGAGTCCACCGTGGAAGTTCGAGGAGCACGAAGAGTATTCCGCAAGCGGGGTGCAGATCCATCTGCGGTTTGCCTGCATGGTTGAGGGTTAAGGTGAACGGCTAACCCTAAACCCTATGCCCTAAACCCTAAACCCTAAACCCTAAGACCAAATCCCTAAGACCAAATCCCTAAGACAAAAGCCCTAAGACCAAAGCCCTAAGCTCCAAAGCAAACCCCAAACCGCAGGCCGCCGAGACTTCAGCGCAGGGGTCTGCCCTAAAACCTAGACTTGAAGCCCTAACCCCCAACGCTAAACTCCAAATCCCAGCCCGAGACCCTAAACTGTACATCGGGTTTAGGGGTTTGGGGTTTAGGGGTTTAGGGGTTTAGGGGTTTAGGGGTTTAGGGGTTTAGGGGTTTAGGGGTTTAGGGGCTTAGGGGTTTAGGGTTTAGGGTTTAGGGTTAAGTGTACATAGGGTTTAGGTTTTTTTTTATATGCAATGGGCTCTTTCTCTGGCACTCTCGACCCTGCCTTGTGACAGGGTTTAGGGTACATCGTAGAGCCCTGAGACTCGCGTCCTTCTGCAATCGGCCGCCACCGAATGACTCCTCGGATTCGTCTCCGGTCAAGAAAGCCCGAAAACAAACAACCCGAACACCCAGCAGGAAACCGGCCGCTGTTACAATGAATCTAACAATCGCAAATTCAGATAACATATAGTATAGCATTGTAAAGCATAACTTAGCATAACATAGCATAGCGTAGTATAGCAAAGCATAGTATAGCATGACATAGTATAACACAGCATGGCATAGCATAACACAGCATGGCATAGTATAGCATAACATTGCATAACATAGCATAGCATAGCAAAGTATAGCATAGTATAGCATAGTATAGCATAGGATAGCATAGGATGGCATACTGTAGTATTAGCACAGTAAATTATCGCATGGCTTATCCTAGTATAGTGCAGTATCATATGCTCTCAGATACTACCATGTACTAAAATATGCGACCATATGCTACCATATACTATCACATACTGTCACATACCATCATACACGATCATGCAAGGTCATGTACTACCATATACTGTCATATAGTGTCATATAAGATCATATACGATCATATAATATACTTTCATGTACTGTCATAATAAATCATATACTACCATATAACATCATATACTATAGACTATAGTATACCTCCTCTTTGGGGTTTCGAACATTGGGCTTCGAGCTCGGGGCCTGAGTGATGGATTTCAGACATGAGCTTCAACTGCCAAAGCAGTCGCATGAACCCTTGATGCCGTACTTGCAAGGGCAGGGGACTTAGTAAGGGCTCCTTAAAGGGATCTATAGGGTTCCTTACAGGGATCTATGGGGTTTAGGGTTTAGGGACTTAGTAAGTAGGTTATAAGTAGAGTTATAAGTACCCTAAATGGAGTTACCCCAATTATAACCCTACTTATAACCTACTTACTAAGTCCCCTGCCCCTCCAAGTAATTGCTTTAGGGTATCGGGCCCAGGGTTTTGGTCTAAGGGTATATGGCTTTAGGGTTGAGGGATAGGTGTGATTTAGGGCATGGGTTTAGGGCCTAGGGTCGAGGGCTGAGGGTATAGGTTTTTAGGGCTTAAGGTTTAGGATATAGGGTTTAGGTGTTGGGGACCTCTTCTTGTGTTGCTGATCGTTAGATGCGCTCGAGGAGTCTAACAACTTTTATACGATAAGATATATGGGTGGTTATCAAAATTATGGTCCCTTTTTCGGCACCCATTATAATACGGCACCTAATATCTATGGTGCCCAAAAAGGGACCCTAATTTTGACAACCACCCATATGACAAGGCAAACCCCCAAGGATGAAATTTTAGCCAAACAGCCGAACGAAAATCTAAGCATTAGTTACTTCCCGAGGTGCCCCTGAAATCCAACAGCCAGAGCCCAAACGTCGATCCTTCAGCTAAAGACCCTGTGGCCTATGCCCATGCTACATCCAGTCTGAGGCATGTGGCTGCGAACTCCTCCTCGGCAGTCCTGGCAGAAGACACAGGGTTCAGGGCTGAGGGTTTTAGGGCTTGGGACTTGGGTTTAGGGTTTTTTTTTGGGGGGGGGTTAGGGTTTAGGGTGTAAGGTTTTTGAAAAGTGTTGCAAGGTTTCTGAGTTTAGCGGTCCGGCCTGTCCGTGCGGCCAGTGGCATCGTAGCGGCGACGCTTGTCCTTCCGGGTTTAAGGGGAGTTTAGGGCTTACGCCACCCTCCTAAACCCGAAACCGTCAACCCAAAATCCCAGTTTAGGGGCCTAAACCCGAAACCCAAAATTCGCAGTTTAGGGGCCAAAACCCGAAACCCTAAACCCCAACTCAAAACACCAACTTTAGGGGGTCCAGGGCTTGGGGTAGCTTAGGGTTTAGGAGTCTCTAGTTCAGGGGAGTTTGGGGCGTAACCTTGAGGGTCTGGGTGTTTCGGGCTCATGGTTTCGGGCAGTTTGGGGCTTAGGGGTTTAGGGTTTAGGGTTTAGGGCTTAAGGGTCTAGGGTTTCGGGTGATTTTGTGTTTGAGGGTTCAGGGCTTGGGGTCTAGGGCTGAAGCTAATTGGGGCTTAGGGTCTAGGGTTTCGGGTAATTCTGGGGTTTGAGGGTTCAGGGCTTGGGGTCTGGGGCTTGGGCTAATTGGGGCTTAGGGTCTAGGGTTTCGGGTAATTTGGGGTTTGAGGGCTCAGGGCTTGGATCTAGGGGCTTAGGCTAATTGAGGCTTAGGGTCTAGGGTTTCGGGTGATTTGGGGTTTGGAGCAGCCATCAGTCGAGCTTGATTTTTGTCGCGCCTCCATGTCTGCCAGAAGCACGATAGCAATCGGGAAACAGCCCTTGGAAGTTGGCAGCAGATGGCAGCCGAGGGAGATGGCAAGAGGAAGAAAGGTATCTCTCGTGGAGTCTCCCGTGCAAGATCGACGGCTGCAGCCCTGGCCCCCCTAACCCGAGCCTTGCAGCTGCCGCTGGAGGCCATGTGGGCGCAGACTAAGGGAAGGTACGGAGGAGAAGGTGTCTTTAGGCTCCACTCAAGATTTTCGTGTTGTGGTTAGGAGATTTGACGGCAACTCTGGTTGTCTGTGCGCATGCACAGCTCGACGCTGATCTCAAGAAGAAACTGAAGGATACGTTGCAAGAATATCCCATCACACGATGCAGAAACGAGTGCTTAGAACTCACTCTCGGTGCTGCTCAGACTCACACAACGCTGCGATCTGCAAGATGTGTAAATGCAACAACCGTTGAGGAAGAATGATGAGCTGCTCATTGAGCGACAGGGTTCAGGGCTTGGGGTTTGGGGCTTAGGCTAATTGGGGCTTAGGGTCCAGGGTTTCGGGTAATTTGGGGTTTGAGGGTTCAGGGCTTGGGGTTTGGGGCTTAGGCTAATTGGGGCTTAGGGTCCAGGGTTTCGGGTAATTTGGGGTTTGAGGGTTCAAGGCTTGGGGTTTGGGGCTTAGGCTAATTGGGGCTTAGGGTCCAGGGTTTCGGGTAATTTGGGGTTTGAGGGTTCAGGGCTTGGGGTTTGGGGCTTAGGCTAATTGGGGCTTAGGGTCTAGGGTTTCGGGTGAATTTGGGGTTTGAGGGTTCGGGGCTTGGGGTGTAGGGCTTAGGCTAATTCCGCAGATAGGGCATTGTCCTGATCCGTGAGCACGTTGTAGGCCTGGAGATGTTTCCATTTTAAGCTGTGCAGCTGTGGGCTCCGAGGCGTTAGGCTTCGGAGTCTTTTTTTTGAGGGTTCAGGGTTTAGGGGTTAAGGCTTCGGAGTTTTTGTTTTTTGAGGGTTCAGGGTTTAGGGGTTAAGGTTTTGGAGTTTAGGATTCAGGATTTGTTGAAGGCTTTGAGGTTTGGGGCTTCGAATGTTTTTCGGCTAGGGACTCACGACTTGAGCTGCCTGCTCTTATAGGGCTGGGGGGTTTCGGGGAATGACAGCGGTAGGGTTCGGGATATAAGTTTGAGGGGCTTGGGGCATGTCTAGGATGGTCCAGAGCTTCGCAAGGAACACCTACCAAAACGAGCTAGCCGCGTGAAGAAGGAAATTGAAGAGGAGAACACAAGTAGTCGCCATCGTGGCTGGGAGGAGCTACACTTTTCACCCGTGCGCCCTGCTAGCATCAAAGAGGATCGCACAATACTAACGGCATTGAACGCGCAAAAAGGGGACTGATGTGAACACATGTAAGAAGGTTGTTCATCAAGAAAAAGTCCAAGGAAATGACGAAATAGTCTCTAACGCCAGATGGCAAGATCACTGATCAGGAGATATTGCGCAAAGCCAAAGGACTAAGAGATAGAAGACGCGAGGATGTACCAGAGATGAATGCTCCAGGTGAGACACTCATACAAGAAGTGGATACTTGGAAGGGCAGGGGGACTTAGTAAGTAGGTTATAAGTAGAGTTACAAGTACCCTAAATGGAGTTACCCCAATTATAACCCTACTTATAACCTACTTACTAAGTCCCCTGCCCCTCCAAGTAGACCCGAAACCCTAAACCGAATAGACCCCTGTAAGGAACCCTATAGATCCCTTTAAGGAGCCCTTTAAGAGCCCTCATCTTTATGGGAAACATATTCATCCTGGGCCACCTGAATATCTGATGGGAGGCCATAAGGGGGTTTAGGGTTTATGGGTTCTTGGGGTAGGGATTCCTTAGTATGAACCCTATTATGGGAACCCTAATCCCCACTAAATCCCCATAGGCTAAAACCCCTTTGGGCCTCCTATGAATATCCTGAGGTTATAGCGAAGACTGGGAAAAGGTATCAAAGTGAACGAAGCCCGACAGAGAGGGTTTCGGATTTAGGATTCTAGGATACAGCTGCCGGAGACCCCGAAAAATAAGGTCAAAACCTCTAAACACCGGACACAACTGAAAACCAGATCATGAGACAGCCATGCACACATACAATGCTTCTGTTGCAGCGGTTTGGGCCTTCTGGTTATATAGTCTTGCTGCCGCATAAAGCACTGGCCTAAACCCAAAACCCTCAACAAGGCCTTGTTCAGGAGCTGGAACTTCTTGGGGTCTCCGCCCTTGTCCGGGTGCTCGGCCAAGACCTTCTTGCCTCAGTGATTGCTGAGGGCTTCGGATTCAGGGTTCAGGGCTCAGGGCATCTCAACAGTGGATAACACGAAGGGAAACCGAAACGGCAGCATCTCGCATGTATTGGGAAAAACCACGACCACATATTGCCTGTATGGTGGCTCTCATAAGCAGTGGGACAAACAGGCGTGGAGAATAAGTTTGAAGCTATGACAAAGCCACCAGCAGCAGCAACCATGTTCACGGTATGAGCCTTGCTCACCTGGTAAGCCCTGAACCCTAAACCCTAAGTCCTAAATCCTAAACCCCTAAACCCCTAAACCCTAAACCCCTAAACCCCTAAACCCCTCAACCCCTCAACCCCTAAACCCCTAAACCCCTAAACCCGAAACCCGAGACCCTAAAGCCCAAAGCCTGGAACGAATCCGCAAGCCCGAACGGCCATCCCCTTGGTGCCGCACGGAACTCGGCGCGGATCTCCTGCAGCGTGGCGCCGCGCTGGACACCGAGGAGCTCCTTTCAGGGCTTGGGGTTTAGGGTTTAGGCTTTAGGGCTGAAGGTTCAGAGCCTTTCAGGGTTTAGGGGTTTAGGGTTTAGGGTTTAGGGTGTAGGGTGTAGGGTGTAGGGTGTAGGGTTTAGGGTTGAGGGTCCAGAGTTTTGGCTTTAGGTTTAGGGTTTAGGTTTTAGGGTTGAGGGATTGAAATTTAGTGTATAGGGTTTCGGGTTTACGGCTTAGAGTTGAGGGTTTGGGGTTCAGGTTTGAGGGTTTACGGTTTAGGGTTGAGGGTTTGAGGCTCGGGCTTGAGGGTTTAAGGGATGGTTCATGTCAAAAGATGGCGAAGCAGTCAATGCTAATGTTGCCGATGATGACAACCATGGTGGCGATGATGCCGACACTGGTGATTATGGTAACGATAATGGGCCATGATGGGTTATGGTGACGATAATGACAAGCATCATGATGCGGATGGAAAAAACAACGATGATGATGATGATGAAGATGATGATGATGATGATGGTATACCGTCATGATCCTGGTGGTCATGACTGCCGCGACAGTGGTCGTTGTTCCCTTTCTCCACTCTCATGTTGTCTACGAACCTGTCATGCGTAATCTGCTCAGTTCTGGATATGACGGTTCTTGCTGCAGTACGTGTCGTTCTTGCCTCTGTCTTCCTAGCTCTGCAACATCACTCGTGTCACTGCCATGCTTCCGGTAGTCTCGTGGATCTCATTGCCCTGACGAACGAAACTCTGGTAAGACATCTTAACTATGAATTGCGGTCGTGACGATGAATCCAGTGCCCGAGAACCCAAAAACCCCAAACCCTGAACCCCAATGCTAAACTCCTGCCATAAACCTTCGGACCTGAGCTATCAATTTTAATTTGGGTCGTAACGCGGGTTGTTTGTGGCTTAGGGCCTAGTAATGTTTAGGGCTTTGGCTTTAGGGTTTAGGGCCTTTTGGTGCGGGTTTGGAGCCCAATGCTTGAAGGAAACCTAGAGCACAATGTCCTGAGCCCTACAAGCTAAACCCTAACAACCCTGCAAAGCCTTGCAGCAATAACCCACCAAAGCCCTAGGCCCTAAAAACAAAAAACCTACAGCTATATAAGCCCTACAATCAATCTAAACCCTCACAACCACCCCACAGAAGCCTCAAACCCCGACAGCCCTAGGCCCTAAACCCAAAGAACCCTAAACCCTATACCCTTAACCCAAAGGAGCCTAACAGAATCCCCTAAGCATGTGCCGCCGGGTCGCATAGTAGTCGGGCTCGGGGGCGGCCATGACCTCAATCCGAAGGAGGCTTAGGGTTTAGGGGCCTTAATGATTAGAAAGAAGTCTTAAGGGTAGTATGGTTTAGGTTGTTTCTGGGCTCCATTTTCCACCTGGTTCGTGGTTTAGGGTTTAGGCTTAAGGGTAGTATCAAAGCATATGTTGGGGACGATATGTAGCGAACCCTATATTGGATTTGGTAGCTGTTCTAAACAGGGAAGCTCATCGACTTGGGGCTCCTGAGAAAAACAAAAGCCCTACAAACTTTAACAACCCTACTAAGCCCTACACCTTGAACCCTCGATCCTAAACCCCTCCCTAAACCTCCTAAACCCTAAACCCCTAAACCCTAAAACCCAAACAGCCTCATCAAAGATCACGAAGCCCAGAAGGCTTGCGGTGGTTCGGGCATGGGCACACACAGCCGCTGCCGACGTCACTAGCATACCCGTGCTGCAAAAATCTGCCTTGTAGGGTTCAGGGTTTAGGGTTTTGGGGCTTTGCTACTGATTCAAGTTGCGGGCTTCTGGACCATGCAGAAGGCTGGCAAGGCACCGATCAGGCTTCACGGTTGGTGGCTCGGGCTCTTGCTGCCGTTTTCAAGACTCCTGCATCTTTTTCATGGCACTGCTGCTGGGTCATGGACGGCTCCCAGTTGAAGGAAATGTAGATTGTAAGGCCCTCTCCGCTCTCGTCCCAGGGGAGGTGCGGGGCTTTGAACCCCTCCCTCTCCCGCTGGAATTTCAAGAGCTGCCACCAAAGCCCAATACCTCTTGAATTTTTTAATATCGGTTTAGGGTTTAGGGTTTAGTATATCGGGATATTTAGAATATACCAGGATCCTTGACATGACTGAAGCTGTGTTGCGTAGTTCAAGGGTACCGGGCTCCCTGGTTGAGTGTGCTTCACTTACCGGAGTCGCGACGATCACACAAACTGTTCAGCATACCCAGAACCAGAACTCACACACTCGAAGCCTTAATAGTAACCCTCATAGTATCTATCCTTTATAAATCCCTCTAGAAGGAACCCTTCGAAGGAAAAACCATAAAATCAAGTGAAATCGCATTGCGACTCGTCCTCATAGCTATGTAGCCGGGCTCAGTGCGGCTGAAGCTGAAGGCATCCCAGCCCAGTGTTTGGCGGGATCACATGTGAAACACGTTGCCTGGCTCCAGAACCCACCGAGCTCGAGCCCGTTTTCACCGGGCCCTTCCAACCAACCGAGAAGCTCCGGCTCGCCAAGTTCTTGCTATTGGAAAAACTACGGGGGCCTTACTTAATACTTAGAATAGGGTTTGGGGACAAAGTTTTGGGGCGTACGAAACACGAGACATGATCAGGAAACCTAAGGAAACAATATTGGCCTATTCCTTAGCTTTTATATGAACTGCAGGGACCATAATCGTGAAATCATACGGTTCACTACAGATCACGACTATGACTATGGACTGCTAAGCTAAACTCGTTTAACCGAGATCATAGCAAGGACCAAGCCGTGGCTGAAGCTTCCGCATGAAGTGTGTGGATGAACACCATCGCTCACGCTGTGCTAGGATTCAAAACCACTCGAAAGCCTCGTGCAGAGATATTGGAAACCTGCATGGGCTTGCCATGTACGGGAAAATTGGCTCGGAAAATGGCAGATCGCTCCGTGATGGCTGCAACATGGATGTTCAAAATCCTGTGACCAGAACCCTAAACCCCAAACCTCAACTTCCACAACTTCCTATATGCACGACCTCCACAACCAGGCCGAAACCTAAACTGCCCAATGCAGCAATCAGGCTCGTTGATTTCAAGCCAATCGCAAATCTGCCCAAGCAAAATGGGTCTAAACGGTTCTGAATTCCAAATGTTAAGTCGTCAGCAACTCGGTCAGCAACAAGCTGCGCCAGTTGCAAAAGAACACTTGGGCCGGGGTTTTGCAACCGATGCACGCAAGGGTGTATGGATTCGGGCTTTGGGGCTTACGGTTGAGGGTGTAAGGCTTAGGGCTTGCAAACTTGTGGCTTTACCGACTCAGGTCAGCCATCTATGAAAACCGACTGCATTGTACGGGGATGCACGAAACACTAAACCCTAAACCCTAAACCCCGACTGCATTGTACGGGGATGCTCGATCGCGGCCAACGGCCCTTTCTCTGGCACAGTGGGAACGCCGATTCAGATGCCAGCTCGCGAAACTGGAAGACGCATTAACTACACAGGGTTTAGGGTTTAGGGTTTAGGGGGTTTAGGGTTTAGGGTTTAGGGTTTAGGGGGTTTAAGGTTTAGGGTTTAGGGTTTAGGGGGTTTAGGGTTTAGGGTAGAGGCTCCAAAGTAGTTCCTTTTTGGGGGTTCATATATAGAATCCTATAAGGTAATCCCAAAAAGGAACTACTATGGAGCCTATGGGTACATACTGCAAATTTTATATTACAAAGGACACATCATATGCTAGAAGTTATGCATTACAGATTGTCACCTCCAGCGTTAAGTTCCCAAACCACCTAGCATGAGTTCCCGCTGCAAGTGGGCATTCACTGGGCTTTGAAGTCATTAGGGAGAAAAAAGTATAGACTTTTATTTCATAATGGTCCCTTCCAGTTACAGGTCCCGAAAAAAGTATTAAAGTATAGTGCTCCAAAGCCCAGTATTCAATTACATATCATCTCAATGGCTCTCCGGACTGAGACCGTCTTCTCGGTGGCCTCGAGAACCTCCACCGTCTCGCGATGGGAGCCCTCCTCTGGGCTTTATGGTAGCAGCCAGAAAGTTGGAACATCAGTATCCTCATGCCCTTAAGGTAAAGGATAAGGGGTCCAAGCACGAATCCTCCTAAACTCATGTTCCAGATTTCTGGCTTCCGCTGTAGGCTTAGGGTCTATGGCTTAGGGTTTAGGGTTTGGGATTTAGGGTTTGGGATTTAGGGTTTAGGGCTTAGGGCGAGCAACCAGGGAGAAAAACGCATACACTGTCGTTTCATCATGGCGGTTCCTTTAACGGAGCAGTTACGAAACAAACATAATTTTTATAATGATTCCTCTAAGGAATCGTTTCAAAAGCAAGAGAATGTTGTGTATATAATGATACCAATAATGATAGTAGTAATAATAATAATACTAATAATACTAATAATAGTAATAATTATTATTGTTATTATATATATACACACACACACCAGCTTGGTGCCCCAAACCCGGGTCCTTGTCCGCCTTCCGCGCAATCTGAAGCGCCGTGCGGCCCCGGGAAGTCTTCAGCGTGGGATCTGCTCGCGCCATGAGGAGAGATTTGATGATCCTCTCGTGGCCAAGCCTAGTTCATGGTTGCGATCGGATTTAAAAAATTATCCCTTATTGGGTTTAAGTACCCATAAACATGTAAAATGTTACCCAACTATGACAGAGAAGCTTGGCTGCGACATGGATGGGGCGCATGGACTCTGGCCTCCTAAGGAGAAAGCAGCCGCTAGGACGAGGTACCTGCTGCTCATTCACATCCAGGTCCCAGAAGTTGTAGAGTCGCAGCCACCAGCTTACGTGAACCAATGCCTTCATCTGCACCAGCTCCCTCTTTGTAAGGCCGGTCGGGTCGACGTCAACTTCCTCTTCGTCATCTGGCTCCTGGTACTAAGAAACTTGTTTTGGGCTGTGTTACAATGCAATTACATCGGGGGTCCTTCTCGTACCGCTTCGGACACCATCGACTCTTCAACTTCGGTGTGGGTATGATGGCATGGCCCTCATCGAAGGTCACGGAGCCCGGAAGGCTAGTGGAGGTGCCGGCATGAGCACACACAGCCATGAGCGAGGTCACGGCCATGCGCGGTGTGGAAAAAGACTGAGCTTCAGCCAAAATGGCTACCTCCTCCTAGTCAGCAACGATGCCCTAAACCCCAAATCCCTAAACCCATAGGGCACAGTGTTCCTAGCAAGCTCGAAGATCTGGGCTGGGTGCTGTGCGGGTTCCGTAAGGGTGCTATGCATGGGATACTATAGATCTACAGTTAAGGGTCCATAGTGGGTTGCTATAAGGGGATACGTAAGAGTAGTTGTCAAAATTATGGCCCCTAATTGGGTACCCTGAATATTAGGTGCCGCATTATAATGGGGACCCCAAAAGGGACAATAATAATGACAACCACCCATAACGGTGCTACAAGCTGCAGCCAAAGGGTCGGGTTTTGATAGAATTCAGGGCCTAGTCCCTGACCGAAGCCCGCAAACCTTAAAGTACCCCAAGGGTTTAGTGGTTTAGGGGTTTAGGGGTTTAGGGCTTGGGATCTAGAAAGTAGATCCCCCAAGCCCTGAACCCTAATCCCTGAACCCTTAAACCCCTGAGCCTTCTTGGCTTTGGGTTTGGATTGTTCCTTTCACCCGGAATCTAACCCTGAAACGCACAGATATGATTTAGGGTTTTGGGGGCTTTGTCTTTGCGCTCAGACCCTAAACCCCATATCTCTAGACCCTAAAAACCAACAAGGGAACCCTAGAAGGGGTAGCCCTGAAGCCATGGGTTGGCGCGGATCCCTCGTTTGCGGGCTTTGGGATCTGGAGAGATGGCGGGTCCTCCTGCATCCGAGACCCCGCATCCAACCAAAGCCTGAAACTTAGGGGTGGAAGGGGGAGTTGTCGGACAGAGAAATTTACAAGGGCTTTTATAGGGTTTGTAGGACGTTGACATGTGTAAAAACCCGACCTCCCTTAAAAGTTAAGGTATATTACTAAATCCGGGGGTTGTCCGCGCTGCGTCGACAATCTTGCAGCAGAGGCGCTGGAAATAAAGAAGCGGGTAGGTTTGCGGTAGGCTTGAGACAGCTGGAAATGCCTGCAGCGTTGTGAACCACCTGTCGGCCGTCTGCGAAGTTGGGAGGGGCTTCTTAAAACTGGGTAATTTATGTACGGGGCCGCATCTTACCATTTAAGCCTAAGGTGCCTTTGGGTACCCTCGTTTTCTGAAACTCCCGGTTTGAAGGCTGAATCACTTGCTTGCCAAAGCTGCGGGAGTACCGCGAGGGCACCGCAGACTTACAGGGACTAGCCGTTGCCGAACAGCAGCATGCACGTCATGAACTCACTCTGCTTGCTGTCGCTTGTGCTTCAGCTGCAGGTGTCGACTATTTCTTGCTGCAGGAAATGGCTACTTTTCTTTCAACTGGAACTGAGCAACTAGCAGTAGCAGTAGCAATACGAGTAGCAGTAGCAGTAGCAGTCGCAGTGGCAGGAGCAGGAGGAGGAGGAGGAGGAGGAGGAGGAGGAGGAGGAGGAGGAGGAGGAGCAGTAGAATCATTCGAATACCAATAGTAATGTTAACAATGAATGAGACTGATCATGCTAAAGGCAATACTGAAGAATATGATAGTAACAACAACAACAACAACAACAACAACAACAACAACAACAACAACAACAACAACAACAACAACAACAACAACAACAACAACAACAACACCAACAGCAACAGCAACAGCAACAGCAACAGCAACAGCAACAGCAACACACAACACCAACAGCAACAGCAACAACACCAACACCAACACCAACACCAACACCAACACCAACACCAACAACACCAGCAGCAGCAGCAACAACAACAACCACAACCACAACAATGACAATGAGCAGCCTTAATTAACAACCATGTTGCTACAGAGTCTCAAAAAATGGGCCCACGGCCGATCTCGTTCACGTTGTAGACCTTGGCAGGCTCAAAACCGAATCCGCGCGGCAAGTTTTCAGGTTAAGCTTGAGGGTCCAGGGCCTAGAAAAACCTAAAAAAATAGCCAAGGTTTAAGAAGCTTAAGGTTTAGAGTTTAGGGTTTACGGTTTAGGGTTTACATTCAGGTGTATGGCTTGGTGTTATGGCCTGGTGGTTCAGGACTTGCAAGAGTTTGCTGTAGACCCCGCATCTGGAAAGTACTGCCTCATTCAGGCAGCACAACAGCCCCAAAGTCGACCCACGAAACCATGAAGCTGGAAAACCGACACCGAATGCAAACTCAAACGATCAGACTGGGTGTAGATGTGCTGCACACGACGGGACATATCCGGGCGGTTAGGGCAGCGGTGCTGATTTGGAGATGAGGGGTTGGGGCCGGCGCGACGGATAGCATGGGCAAATAGAGTCATCCACCAAGACACAGTCAAGAGAGACAGAGGAAGACATGACGTGCAGACACATTATGTAGGATCCGTAACAATAGGAACTGGGTTTTGGGGGACATTCTACTGTAGTTATATTATAGCGACTATAAGGGAAAATATGACCAATCTGCTACCCAGAGCCTCCAAAACCTCTTAATTTAGGAATATACCTTAAATCATATAAGGGATCCTATTACAATTTAAGGTATATTCCTTAATTAAGGGGTTTTTGGAGGCTTTGGGTAGTTTGCTAAACCCTAAAACCCTAAACCCTAAACCCCAAAACCCTAAACCCTAACCCCTAAACCAATCTGCTAGTTTGCTATCCCGGGAACGTAGAGCTTCGGTGCGTAGCGCTGCAGAGCTCGGCCTGATTCCGAAAGTTCTCAAGTCTAGGGCTTAAGGTTTAGGATTTAGTAAGGGCTCTTGAAGGATCTATAGGGTTCCTTCAGGGTTTAGGGTTTAGGGTTTGAGGTTTAAGGTTTAGGGTTCAGGGTTTAGGGTTTAGGGTTCAGGGTTTAGGGTTTAGGGTTCAGGGTTTAGGGTTCAGGGTTTAAGGTTTGGAGTTTAGGGTTTAGGGTCTAGGGATTAAGGTTTAGGATTTACTTGGAAGGGCAGGGGACTTAGTACCCTGCCTTCCAAGTAAGGTTTAGGATTTAGGGTCTAGGGTTTAAGGTTTGGGGTTTTTTAGGGTCTAGGGTTTGAGGTTTAGAGTTCCGGATTTCGTGGTTAGGGATTGAGATTTGGGATTCAGGGATTCGGGTACAAGGCTTTTGTGAAGGGTTGGAGGCATTCGGATTGGAGCTTGTATATAAGCGCAGGTGTACAAACTAGGGTTTAGATGCTAGGCTCTAGACTCTACAATCCTGTTTTCAGGCTTATATAAAGCGCAAGGTTCACGGACGTTTAGAATTGAAGATCTAGTTGAGGGTTTCGCAGCTATGTATCAAGGCCTGGGTATAGGGTTTATGTTTATGGCAGTTGGCTTTCAGGCTGATGCCTTACTTGGAAGGGCAGGGGACTTAGTAAGTAGGTTATAAGTAGGGTTATAATTGGGGTAACTCCATTTAGGGTACTTATAACTCTACTTATAACCTACTTACTAAGACCCCTGCCCTTCCAAGTAAGGATGTAGGACTTACTTCGTGGGGCCCCAGAGCATGTAGACGACGTGGGAGATTTGAGGGTTTAGGGTGCCCAGAGACTCCAATATCTCTTGATTACGGAATATGCCTTCAATTGTGGTAGGATCCCCAATATGAAGTAAGGAATCTTCCCTAATTACGGGATACTGAAGTCTCTGGATAGTTTAACAGTGCCAAGCGCAGCCGCTGGCAAATGTGTGGAGCGCGCATAGGCGCAGTAGTCTTTGGGTATAGCCCTAAACCCTAAACCCTAAGCCCTAAGCCCGGTTGCTGTTCTCAACCTCAGCGCCTTCCTCAGCGCTCCTTCCAAATAGGTTCAAGCATCTTACTTGGAAGGGCAGGGGACTTAGTAAGTAGGATATAAGTAGAGTTATAAGTACCCTAAATGGAGTTACCCCAATTATAACCCTACTTATAACCTACTTAACTAAGTCCCCTGCCCTTCCAAGTATGTGTAAGTCTCCCACGGTCCCAGAAATCCGAAACCGCCCGGGAAAATCCCTGGAACTCGAACCTGACACCCTGAACCCTAAACCCTAAACCCTAAACCCTAACCCTAAACCCTAAACCCTAAACCCTAACCCTAAACCCTAAACCCTAAACCCTAAAGCCTAAACCCTAAACCTCACGACTCCCTCTAGAAGCCTCACAGTCGTTAGGGTAGCCTCGTCTAGAACCTTTACAGTAAGACTTGTGATAACCCTGGGAGTGAAAGAGAGTTACCGCCCCTGGGCTGTCAGATTGCCTTCCTTTATGTGAGGGCTCCTTGAAGGGTTCGGTTGCAAATTCAGGGTATAAGGGTTCATGGTAACCCTTACAGATACGTTCTTGCCTTGCAGGGGTTGCCGGGGTGGAGCATTGACATTCTGAAAATCACTGCAGTCTGCTTTGGGCTCAGGGCTTACGGTTTAGGGCTTGGCCTAGGGTTCGGGATGAAGGGCTCCTTCGGACTAAATCAACAGGTAAACCAACAATGCCAGCAAGAATATTGACAAAACCCAGAGGAATAAGACTCATAACAAGAACATTGAAAAAACAACAGTGGTGACAAGTCTTAACGGTTTTGAACTACTAGCCCCAGAACTCTCCAGCCCCACCCGTATCTAAGCCAAGGACTGAGATCCGCAGCTGTCGCAATCAAGCCGTCCTGCAAGTTGGTTCAGGGCTGAGGGGCTTGGGGTCTGTGGTTCTTATGGTTCCGGGGTTTGGGGTGTGAAGTTCAGAGGTTCAGGGTTTAGGGTTTAGGGTTTAGGGTTTAGGGTTTAGGGTTTAGGGTTTAGGGTTTAGGGTTTAGGGTTTAGGGTTTAGGGCTTATATAGGGCTTCGCGGAGGTTTGGAGTTTAAGGTCTGACCCCGACCCAGCCAGCCGTAAGAGTCACCAAGGTATTACCAGCTGAAGCTCAGGGTTTTAGGGTTCAGCTTTGGGGTTGAAGGGCTTCTACAAACCCTAACAACCTCGAGAAACCTATCTAATAATATGGCCCGATTTTCCTAAACCAGAAGCAATACTAACTTGAGCACCACGACTACTACTACTACTACTACTACTACTACTACTACTACTACTACTGCTGTGCTGCTACTTCTACTTCTTCTTCATTCGCAGCGAAGAGATCCACTTGGCGTCCCATCTAGGGTGTCATGCCGGTGCTCCAGGGGCCGCACTCTGCCATTCCAAAGTCCGGTAAAGAGCACCGTCCCGACACTGGCGCAGGCCCTTCCCAGAGACTCCAATATCCCTCAATTAAGGAATATACCTTAAATTGTAACAGGATCCCTATTATGATTTAAGGTATATTCCTTCATTAAGGGATATTGGAGTCTCTGGGTTCAATCCAATTGAGCTTCTCCGTCTTTCGGATGAGGAGTAAATGAGAAAAAGAGACATTGTGCATGAAGAAACTGCAGTTGTACCAAAGACTTGTTGCCAAGGCCCTGGCATTGTTGTGGCAATCTCTGCAGGCCAGACGTCTCTCAGGGATTTCCCAGGAGTGAATCTTGTCGCTGCCGTGATCCTAACCCATGAACAGATCGATAGATGCTGCGTCGGAAACCAAAGTATGCTATGCTGGTCCCAACCGCTCACCAGCTCCTTCTAGAGAGCAGACGGTTGAAGTCGCGGCCCCAAAATTTTTCGGTATGGCTCACGTGTTGTGAGCCGAGAAGCTTCTACTACTTCTCCTCCAACTACTACTTCTCCTCCAACTGCTACTACTACTACTACTACTACTGCTGCTACTGCTACTGCTACTACTACTACTACTACCACCACTACCGACTACGACTACGACCACGACCACGACGACCACGATGACGACGACGACAACGACGACGACTACGACTACGACGACGACTACGACTACGACTACGACTACGACTACGACTACGACGACGACTACTACTACTACTGCCGCCGCCACTACTGCTACTACTACTGCCCAACACTAGCAGCAGTAGCAGTGAAGAAGAAGAGAACGGAGATAATGACGATAGCGGTGAGTACAAACTCTCAACCCCAAAAAAACGAAGCCGCAAAACCTTGCTACTTAAACGCTTAAGTCCCGGCACCCCTTCAGCCCACCTCCTTACAGTCACCCTCAACCCTAATCCCTTAAAACCCTCAGCCCTAAACCCTAAACCGTGTTAGAACAACTCTAAAGGATCCCCAACCCTAAACCCTAAACCCCAAACCCTTAAACCAGAAGAGGTCCTCGTCATAGATGGCTTGCTCGGCGACCTTCGAGGACGCACCGAAAGATCCGCTTAAAGCTTCTGTAAGTTTTGTATGGTCCCATCAGGGTTTAGGGTTTAGGGTTTTGGGTGTTAGGGTTTGCCGTGGAATAGCAAATAGGCGGTAGTATCTTGCGACAAGGTTGCGTCGAGCGCAGCCGTACTGCGGCGACGAGGTACGAACGCCTGTCTATACAAGGCGTTTTCCTTTTTTTCTCTCCCACCCCACGGCGTATAAGGCGGCCAAGCCACCCAAACCTACTCCTTTTAGGCTTAAGCTGAAACCATCGCGCGTTTCTTCCTGTCCAGCAATGCGGCATGCAAGGGCAGGGCAGGGGCAGGTGCAGGTATTATGCCCGTACCGGGTACAAGGTGGGTGCTACAGCCCCCATGGCTGTGGAGAGGCGGGCTGGCGTGCTGGTCGGCCTCACCCAGTAGGTGGGCGGCCGAATGTAGGAACCTGATTAAGAAACCTTGGGCCTTTATTAGGGTTCTTAATATTCATCCTACTATTTTGGGGTTATAGGCCCAGGGTTTCTTAATCAGATTCCAACTTATGCCTTGAGTTTAAGGTTTGGGCTCAAGCCCTGATAAAGCTCTGCAGGGCTAAGGGGGGGCGATCGAGTGTCCAGGGGTCGGAGCTGACGTGAATGCGCTTGTCAGAGAGCCCAGGAATTGCGATAGATGCGAGGATCCGAGGCACTGGTAACTACTTGAAACTATACTTACAAACCCATGCTAGCCTGGGTAGCCATAGTTGGACACTGATGTTTGGGTTAGAAGTACAGCGTCATGATGATTGGTTGGCAAGTTGAAGTACAGTCAAAGAAGCAACCTGAAAGCTACTCCACACGTCCCCGAATAAGCTAAGCATTTGGAGAACAACTCGCAGACCCGCAACCCTAAACCCGTAAACCCTGAAATCCTAACTCTTGAGACCTAAACCCTGCATCATGAGGCAGAAGTTGCAGGGTTCCACTTCAAGTCGGGATAGTCCCAAAAAGGCAATGCTGTGCAAGGGTAGGTTTGTCCGCGTTGTCCGTGCCGACGATTTTCCAGCTAGCATCGATTGCATGAAGGTGGAGCTGACAGCGCTCGATCGTCAAGGTACTACAGAGCCCGGAAGATTTCCTGATGCTATTTCTTGAGCTCCTTGACAGATTTTCAGTATGGCACCCCTCCGCCCCCACCCTCACACACACACACCCTATTCTAATGATTCAAAACCCCTGTACTGCGCACGCCCTCCATCATCGTGCCTATTGTGGGGTTACCCAGCTCTCCGTTCCCTACCCCCCAACCACCAAGAAACCACGCTCGAATCACAGCAGCTCAAGTGTTTTCTCCTGATGTGAGGCTCTGTATGGGCTCACCCAAGATTTGCGAAGGGTTGCTGAGCATTTCAAGAAGGGCTTACGAGGGTTGAATGAGGGTGTCCTGGTGGTTCTGAGGGTTTCAGCAGTTCTGTAGGGCTTGTATCTTTGTACGGCTTGAAAGGGTCGACAAGGGGCTTTGTGACGGTGGGCATCGACCCTTCAAAAACACAGTCGAGCTTTCACAAGCTTTCCGCTGACCGGCTTGTGAAAACGTAAACCCTGAACCTAAACCCTTAACCTCAAAGTACCTTGAAAGACCGGTTTCGAAAATCCTGGGGCCGGAACCGGCACTCCGAAGTAGCGCGCGATGTTCTCGCGCAGCGTGTTGCTGAAGCCTGGGGGTTAGGAGCAACGGCTTAGGGCTTTGGCTTTAGGGTTCTAGGGTTGAGTTTATAGGGATTAGAGTCTAGTCCTATCAAAACTTAACCCTGAACCCGATATAAAGTTTAGAGCTTGTGCGTTGCATTAAGACATAAGTACACCACGGTGTACATTCTACGTATGATGCACAAGCGGATAGATACAGAGAACATACACGCTGCCTCATCTGTTACTTGTCTACCCCATTGGCCGTTCAGCATCGCCGCAGTCAGGGTTCTTATGATAAGAGCAACGCTCTAATCCAGGGAGCAACGCCATCCCCAGAAGAAAGACGAAAACGCCGAGACCAATAAAGTGATCCCCCTTAAAACATATGAAGAATCCCGGAATCAAGGATTTTCCCTGGTTCAAGCGGGCATTGGGCTCAAATATCAACGAAACCCGAAAACCTAGACTCTAGACCCCAAAACCCTTAAACCCCTAAACAAGCAAAACCCTACCTCTAATCCCAAACCCCAAAACCTTTTGTGTAACCCCTAAATTCGCTACCCTCAGCCCTAAACCCAAAACCCGTAGAGTATGGGGCTCCCTTCGGGGCTCCCTGCCTGACGCTTTCACCAAATCACCCATCTCGTCCTCGGTTGGAGAGCTTTTGAGGTATAGAAACGAGCTTCCAGGATTGGGCTTAAGGTTTAGGGTTGAGGGCACCAAAACCGCAAACCCTACTTGGAGGGGAGCAGGGGACTTAGTAAGTAGGTTATACGTAGGGTTATAATTGGGGTAGCTCCATTTAGGGTACTTAAACCTCTACTTATAAGCTACTTACTAAGTCCCCTGCCCTTCCAAGTAAGCCTTTTTAGGGTTGGCTGTTGCGGTTCGGGGCTTCGGGCTGGTGTCTGGGGTGGACTGTTGTTGAGCTCCAAGTTTTTCAAGTGTCCGTGGGCTTATTGGGCTGCGGTGTGCAACCCTCGAGGGCGAGCGGTACTTATGCGCCGTGTTCCCCCACCGTGGATTCGATGCTCAGGTCAAGGTATCTCTTATAGTAGCCCTGATAATGACCTTTACAGCCCCCTTCAAGTAGCCCTTTACACTTTACAGTAACCTTTCTACGTCACGTACGGCGGCCAACACCTCCTTTACCGCCGAACCTGAATACATAAAGCTGGAAGGCAGCCTAATTATAACTGTATACTACCTTAACCTACCAAAACCTAATTTTTTGTAGGGACCCTATAAATTCCATATAAGGGTTTACAATAAGAACCTACTAAAAAGAAGGGTTTGGTAGGCTATTGTAAGCCCCATGCAAACCCTAAAGACAAATGATGCCAACTACTGCATCACAAGGTGGCCAAGGGCTCCGTCCCTGGGCTGCTTTGCATCTGAGAGCCGCCATCTTTAAGGAGTCGGATTGAGGGTTTAGGCTTTAGGGCTTAAGGTTTAGGGTTTGCGGTTCAGGGTTTAGGATTTAGGATGTGGGGTTTTGGGTTTAGGGTAGATCCTAAACTCCTGGTATGCCACATCCGCGAACCACAACATCCAAGAGGCCACATCGAACCAGTCGTGCAGGAGCCCATGCACCTTGCGGCTGTTTCGAGCTGAGACGCAGTCACTCGACTAATGTAGGAACCTGATTAAGAAACCTGGGCCCATAACCCCAAAATAGTAGGATTCATAGAAGGAACCCTAATCAAGGCCCCAGGTTTCTTAATCAGGTTCCTACATTAAACCCTAAACCCTAAAGGCAACCGAGAACCAGAGTGTAGGAGGTCCCTTCAACAGACAGAAGAACTCCAGCAACACCCCAAAACCTAACAGCTATCCTAAGTAGAGTCAAACTCAGGGCTGCACGGTTTAAGCCCTACTGGGTTGTAGCTTTCTTGGGGCCGCTAAAGGTATTGATGAATACTCTATACAGACCAGGAAGGGAAATTACGCAGTCTAACAAAGTGCCAGCAAGGGTGTTGATGAATACTCTATAGAGACCAGGAAGGGAAATTACGCATTCTAACACAGTGACACGACGCCTATGGCTTTTGAGGGTTCGGGCTTTGGCGCCGGGGCCAGCAGTTTGGAGTCTCAAGGCGTGAGGGTTTAGGGTATTAGGGTTTGTAGAAATTTTGGTATTAGCGTTTATAGAAATTTGGGTTTTGGGGCTTATAGAAAATAGTGTATTAGGGTTTATAGAAATTTTGGTATTAGCGTTTATAAAGGCTTGGGTATTAATTTGGGTATATAGAAACTATAGAATTTGGGCACGAGGGTTTACAGAATTTTTCTAGGGTTCGGGTCCCTGAGTTATGAGCGAGCTTTTTCTTTCTTTTTGCTCTTGGCCGGGCTGCTTGCCTGCTGTCTGCTACGGAAAGACTGCTCGGAAAGAACTGCTGGTATGCCGTAACCGAGAATGAAGCTTGCTAGCGGTAGATGGCTGAGGATACAGTTATTTGTTGCCGCAATTGGGGCGTTTGAAAGACTGTTGCTGACTGCTTTTGAAAGGTTGCTGAAGATACTAAAGTTTGATGGAGCACGGAAGGAACACAGAAGAGGGCCCCGTACCTTAGGTTCGGCCATATACGAAGGATAACAAAGGGAGGCCATGTACGTTATGTGCGCATTTAACTGAAGCAGAACAGATCAGAATCGCGTACACTGACTTCGCTCTTACTTGCAGCAGAACAGCGGGGGGCCATGCATTTCATGCTGGCCCTTCTCTTCATTGAAGGAAACAGAGGAGGGCAACGGACCAGATATAAAGGCATGTACCTTATGAAAACTGGTATAGTTGAAACAAACGACCCAATTTCTATTTTTTGCTCTTGGGGGTTTAGGATTTAGGGTATCATGATATTGGTGTTTAGGGTTTGGGCCTTACGGCCTTCGGGTTTAGGGGTTAGCCTAGACCCAAGGCCTTCTCGAAGCAACTTCATCCAACAGCCCCCCTCAAAGATTCATCGACACCTACAGCAGGCCTCAAATCCTAAGCCCCAAACCCAAAGCCCCTAAAACCTGGGGAGCAAGGCAGGCCCTGAAGTCCTAAAGTAACAGTCATTAGGGTCATAGTCTACATGTAAATATAGTACAGTCATTGTGCAACTCTTACAAAATGGAGGCCCTAAACCCTAAACCCTAAACAAAACCTAGGGCCCTGGAGTGCATTTGCTGTCTTGCTAGCGCCTCGATTCGCAACATGCGTGGCCGCTCGGTAGATTTCAGCGAAGTGGGGCTCCCGACCTCCCAGAGTTCAACTTTGCTGGGGTTCAGAGTTTAGGGCTTAAAGTTTAGGGCTTAGGGTTTTGAGGTTTAGTTTGGGCCTTAGGTTTAGAGTTTGCAGCCATCTTCGCTGCAGCTTTGGCTGTGTTCATGTTGTTTTCCATCCCCTTCTAGAGTACCAGAAGTGGCATCGTTCGGCTGCGTCATTGCAGTATCAGAAGTTTGAAATTTGTTATTCTCTTTTCGCCTAGAAACAAACTCGACCAAGCAACCAACTCAAGAGGTGGTCAATGACAAAACAACTGCAGTGGCTTGACCATTTGTGCAAAACATGTAGGTACATTTCACTGATGCCCGACACATAGACTCCACAGCCCGCACAACGAAGGCACGACTTGTAAAAGCCACACAACCTGACACGAATAGAGTGGTTCGGATCATCCTAGCAAACGGACAGTAACCACACTGTTGCAAAGTTAAACTGGCATAACAACTTTGACGAGCGGAGCAACTTTGAGATTGAAGCTGAAAGAATTGTATCAACAGCGAGCCATGCTAGTCTTAGTAGTTCAAAGAGCAGGGTTTCCAGAGAAGGGCCGCCTGGTAGTCCTGCCGACTTGTTGAAAGCGAAAAACCTAAGCTTGTTGCGTCTGCTATACTCTTGACTGCAAAATCGGCAGTACTTCGCTTAGCTATTTGACGCGTATCGTTGAAGTTATTCCCCTCGGAGCACATGCCCTCCATATCAGGAGCGAATCAAATTCAACTCAATGTTTAACTAATACCGTTGGTATCATTAGTCTCATCAGTCTCGTTAGTATATTAATAATAATTGTGAGTATACTGGCAATTTGTGCTATCGACACCCAAATCTGCAAACACTGCCACACGTACCCTGGAACTCTGAAGTCGGCGCGAGGCTCTTTTTTCAAGTCCAACCGAAGTTACAGCCACAACCTTCTCCTCCTCCCCTGCTATTAATTGCTGCTGCTACGACTACTACTACTGCTACTACTCCTCCTCCTCTTCCTGTTATTACTATTATTGCTGCTACTGTTACTACTCCTGCTGCTGCTGCTACTACTACGACTCCTCTTCCTGCTATTCCTATTATTGCTGCTACTGCTACTGCTACTGCTACTACTACTCCTGCTGCTGCTGCTGCTACTACAACTACAACTACTACTACTACTACTACTACTACTACTACTACTACTACTGCTGCTACTGCTACTGCTACTGCTACTGCTACTGCTACTGCTACTGCTACTGCTACTGCTACTGCTACTGCTACTGCTACTGCGACTGCTACTGCTACTGCTACTGCTACTGCTACTGCTACTGCTACTACTCCTGCTACTACTGCTACACTGCGATACTTTGCTCAAGGGGTATTCTCAGTGCTGTTCTGCTATTTCTTCTGCTATTCCCACCTCCACGTCGTCACTGGGACGCTTCCGAAAGGACACATCTCCCGACATCACGCCAGACAAGGAATCAGGGCTCCCTTTAGAGCTTACAAAGGCTCAGTGCTGCATCACAACACTGCAAATGCAGAGAGCGAGGCGATACTGGCTATTGACACGACGGCTGTGCACTCCTTTGTACGTGGTACGGTTGTGAATTGAACATCCATGGCATGTTTGGTAACCGAGCTGGGTGGCTGATGTAGTGTTCCTAGGCAGAACTGTCAGCTGCGGAATGAAAGCAAGCATGCAGCTGCAAGTCAAATGCTACCGAAATATGCCGCAAACATGGAAATCTTGCCAAGGTCCATGGAAAACACATCTGTGAAAGCCGCGGCCGAGAGAGGGAGGGAAAGACACACACACAGAGACACACACACACACGCACGCACACACACTCGAACGATGACTTTTGCGAGTGCCAGCATTGCTGGGTTGAGACTTCCTGCGACTCTTGCTGGGTCCCCATGTTGCCCAGGCTGTTACGCATTTCTGACGGGATTAAAGCCGTAGACTTTGAACCCTTCTCTTAAACCCTGAACCCGAAACCTTAAACCCTAAACCCTTTCTCGAACTCTAAACCCTCAAACCCTCGAGCCCCAAACCTTGAACCCTTAACCCCTGAACCCGAAAATCTAGACCTTAAACCTGAAGCCCTAAACCCCTAAATCCTGAAGTCCTCAACCCCAAACCTAAAGGCTCCAGGTCGCCTCAAGCCCTAAACCCCAAACCCTCCAATCCTCGATGCTAAACCTAAGGCCTACTGTCGGGGCCTTAATAATTAGAATAAGGTTTTGGGGCCCACTAGACTATAATCATAATAAGGCCACAGTATAATCATAATAAGGCCACAGTACTACTGGCAATTATTTGGCCCGTCTCTGAAAAGAGGCAGGGAGGGACCCAGATTCACGCACCGGGACCAACCAAATCTCCGCCACCCAGCATAAGGATTTCGAGCTCTATCTCTCCAAACGGGATGTGGGTGGTTGTCAAAATTATGGTCCCTTTTTGGGCACCCTAAATATTAGGTGCCGTATTATAATGCGGACCCAAAAAGGGACCATAATTTTGACAACTACCCATGTGGGTTTAGGCTTTAGTAGGGATTCTTCTTCTTCAGTGCAATGGCTTTCTTTCTCTAGGGATTTAGGGTTTAGGGTTTCGGGTTCAAGGTTAGTCGTCTTGTATTCCTTTATGTGCGACTTCACCTCGTAACAAAAACTATGCTTAGACGCAAGTTTCGGTAGCATTGGTGTATGAATTAGGTACGGCCCCCATACAGTAAGAGTGCATAATAGGGCTACTATTAAGGTCCTACTATATCTATATTATGAATACTATTCAATTATTACTGAGTGGGGGCCTATGAACGACATAGCTCAACATGTTCAGAGATATGAAAATAGCCTTCTTCGCTGGCAAGGTCCTTGCCCCTTTGCCTCGGCTGGCGGAGCTCCCTACTTCAAGTCCTCAAGTGTTACATCTACAGGGAGTCCAAAAAACACCGGAGCCCTAAACCCTGAACCCTAAACCCTAAACAAATCTAGCACCGACTAAGGGGCCGTTGCATTGTCGACCGGTGTGATCGTTGGACTTGCCTTTGGTTAGTAGGGAAAGGAAGAATGGTAGTAATTGTAGTTACACTTGTGCCCCATTCATCCATTTCCTACTAACCAAAGGTAAGTGGAGCGAGAAGTAGAGATAAACGTTGCATCGGCGATAGTCATGAGGAGAACAATATCCAATCAGAAGGATAGCGTGTTGTTGACACAGTCGCTCGTGACGGACTCCCTGCACTGACAGTAGACTGAGTGTGACGAGCACTCGAATCCACAAACGCCAGTTGAGCTGAACCCAACTCAGTAAGTAGGTGCTCCAGGATACCGTGAATTTAGCTGCAGTGTACCAGACGCATTCTTGTGTGAGATGATTGCCCAACCTGGCTAATTATCCGACACAAGCTCCCCCTTGTTCGGAGTCGAATTTGCATAGCTGTACATCTTTGGAGACCTTCATCGTGAGACAAAGCCTACATCATGGGCGATGGCCCCGGGCGAGAAAAGTCGTCCATAAGTGTTGCCTTTTCCTTACACTTTTGCTCCTTACTGGCATCGGTTCAGTTCGGGGTGCAGCTTCTGCTGCCCCGGAGTTCAGGGTTGTTTGGGAGTTTCCCTCGCCGCGGCACTTTACGTTTTCAGCCTAGATTTGGTCTGATTAGCGATTAGTGATTGCAGTCAGAAACCGGTCGATGTCGTCTGCCGCGATTGCGATGCAGGACTTGTCGAAGAAATCCCAGCCTCAGACTTGACACTACCCGAGACCCCATTCAAGACTCATACTATAGGGGCCTTCATAAAATTAGACTTCTGGGGCCCTTCATGCCAGAATTATGAGAGGGAGCCCCCAAAACAGTATCGGTAGTTATTTAGGCCCCAGTATCATAGTACCCTACTATAGATCCCTTATAGACCCCTCCTATAAGGATCCCTTTATTATTTAGGCCCCAACATCAAGCCCGGCCTTGATCGGTGCAAAGCCCCCGCTTCACAGCAAAGGCTCAGATCCCCGGTCGAGGTTTAGGTTTTTTCGAAAAACAATCGCTTTCTTAGGGTTTAGGGTTTAGGGTTTTGGTGGAGTTTCCGAAAATGGGGGACCCTAATATAGTACCCTAAATAGTAGGATCCTTCCTAGAAGGACCTCAATTTAAGGTACCCCTAATTTTCGGAAACTCCCAGTTGAGGCTAGCAGTTCTAAACCCTGAACCGTAAATTGGGAGTTGGGCTTAAGGACTGCGGATTTAGGGCTCCAAAAGACTGAACCCTCCAAGCCTCAACCATCAAGTGCAAACAATCAGGTTAATAGTACTAATACTTTTACTAATAACAATGCTAATAATCGTAATAAGAATAGCAAAATAACAACAATACTAACAAGGCTGACAGTCCACAAGACAGATTCCAGGAGTCACGGCCAAGAGACGGTACTGCAAGTTCTGGGTCGCTTGAATCGCATGGCGGAAAGTAGCACCAAACTCCTTCAGGGTTTAGGGTGTAGGGTGTAAGGTTTAGGGTTTAGGGTGTAGGGTTTAGGGTTTAGGGTGTAGGGTTTAGGGTTTAGGGTCTAGGGTTTAGGGGTTAGGGTCCCTTCGGGACGTAGAGTTTGGGTCTTGGGGGATGGGTGACGGGCTAACTCAGGGAAAGGTTTAGGCAGAGGTGGAATGTCCGAACTCTGAAACATAAGCTTAAAGCTCTTTTGGCTTTAGGGCTTCGACTTCAGAAGTCCTGGAATTTGAATGCTGCAAGGTTTGATGGTCCAAAGTTTAAGAGTCTGCAGGCTTCTTTTTCGGGCTAAATGGACCTGAATAACTGAATTGGGTTTGGGGGTATCATATACCACAAGCTCATTGAGGAACCCTTAGTAGGCATACTGCTGCTAATCGTTCAGCCGCCTCCAGTAGGCGGAGGGCTCATGCTGAAAGCTCTGAAGCCTGAACCCCAAACCCTTGAAGCCTACCCTAAGCCCCAAACCCCAAGCCCTAAACCTTACAGACCAGTTGCATCGACGTCGGAGATGGAGGGCGGCGTGATGCCAACGCATAGGTAGGAGTCCTCGTATCACAGAAAACTGTCAGGGTTCCTGCTGATCTTCATAGAACCTATCTACGGTTTAGGGTGTGGGCTTTAGGGTTTAGGGGTTTAGGGTTTAAGGTTTAGGGTTTAGGGTTTAGGGTTTAGGGGTTTAGGGTTTAGGGTTAGCTAAACTGGATCCTGAACCCTCGTACCGAATTGGTTGTACTCATTGCTGGCCACATTGCCACCACTCGTCGCATTGGTTACTCAAGTTTTTTGCTCTAAGGACGGCCATACTCACAATGTTCTCATTGACGACAAGAACTCAAAGAGCCACATGGCTTAAATAAAAGGGTGTTCCGGGTTTTGGGCGATCTGGGAAAGCAAAAAAACTGTGCTATAGCATGTACTACCGTATGTTGTCGTGCATTGTAGACAGTCTGTTCTGGAGTATAGCCTAGTCTTGTGTGTCCAAGTATATTCTGATCGTTACAGTGCATTAAGTCTTTTCTATCAAAGAAAGAGTCTACGTCCCTTAACCCCAATTTAAACCCAAAAAACAAACTCTGGACTCTGGACCGACGTCGTGCATGCTCTCGACAGCTCTGGGATTCTCGCTTCACTGCCTGTAAAACACACCAGGAGCAAGAACAGTTTTCAAGAGCACCCAGAAGTAGAAGAAACCCATACTGTTGCCCGTATAGTAGCCCTTGTAGAAGCGTAAACAAACCCTGAACCCCTAAAGCCCAAAAATCGCACAAGCTGCCATAGGGCCATCGCGGATAACGACCTCAGCTGTGGGAGGCAGACAATCTCTCTACTCAATGCGTTAAACGTTTGGGTTTTCAGTTTAATTGAGGCCTTAATAATCAGAGGCCATGACTCCCTGGTGCTTTGTGCACTTAGCAGGGAATGGGGGAATGGATATCTATGACTGTCGCTGAAGGTTCCTTGTAGTATTCCCTACAGCCCGTTCCCCCATCCCCTACTAAGAACTTGGGAGTGTATTGGGGGCCTTAAGAACCCAGAGACTCCAATATCCCTTAATAAGTCGTATTAAGGATCCTACTATAATCTAAGCTATACTACTCGAACTGAAAACTTTCAAACTTCACGGTCCAAACAACCCCATACCATTTATTTAGGAATATACCCAAAATCACAACATTAAGGCCCCTTCCTTTGAGGTATAGTCCTTGGTCAATAGCAGGGTATTGGGCTCTAGGAGGTTCCTTGCTACTCACGTCATGACTAGACCGGTGTCTGTATACAAGATGCCTCAACAGAGTGCGTGTATGCTTTAGGCATTAGGGGGTTTAGGGGTTTGGCTTTAGGTGCTTTATGCGTTAGCGGTTCGGGTATAGGGCTTAGGGCAGGCCGACAGCGAGTATTCCACGCCCTCGAGCTGTGATGACGCCTCCCCACCTAAATTTTCGATAAAGGCCTTATACTAGGATGCCCAGTAACCTAGGAAGGAAAAGGGCTCCCTTTTTGTGGTATTGGGTAGCTTTATAAGGAACCTAGGACTACGAAAAGGGAATAAGGGTACTACTGGGCATCCTAGTATACCTTTCACAAGGCTATTGCTGAAAGCACTGCCGAGTATGAGACGGTCCGAAATCCCCCATGGCCACTGCCTGCACCTAAACACTACACTAAACTTCAAACCCTAAGCTCTAAACTAAAACCCTAAACTCTAAACTCTGAACTCCAACTTAAAGGCTCGAAACTCTAACCTCAAAGCTCTAAAAACCTAACCCTGCATAAACGCAGCCCAGGGCACAAGCAGAGGAAGCTCATGGGGCCTCTTGGAGCAGTAGGCAAAGATCGTCTGCGACAGCCAAACTACCTTGGCTGAGGAATCAGTACCCAGGCGTTGGCTTCCTTTACTTGGAAGGGCAGGGGACTTAGTAAGTAGGTTATAAGTAGAGTTATAAGTACCCTAAATGGAGTTACCCCAATTATAACCCTACTTATAACCTACTTACTAAGTCCCCTGCCCCTCCAAGTACTGCAAGGCTAGGGGACTGCAGAGTTCAGATTTTCGAAGAATACTACTGGGCTTTAACTTAGTTGTTGAGTTCATAAGCCCCCAAAAGTGTACACTTTCAGTTTTGTAGTGGGTAGTATTATCCAAAACGTGTAACTCGGCTACTAAGTTCATCCTTAGCAAGACTATGGTGCTTTAGTGGCTTGTGTAGGAATACTATGGGGCGTTGGGGTTCAGCGCTTTCAGGAATGCTACAGGACTTTATAGGGCTGAGCTTTTTGTTGGGAATGCTATGGGACGTTAGAGTTTAGGTTGCAGGGAGCCTTTGTAAGCCATTGCGGCCGGAATTATGCGATTTTACTGGAGTTTGCATTGTTGTAAAAGGCATTTTTTAAAGGTGTGATGCAAGGTTATATGGAGCTTTGTAGGACTGTATAGGGTTTCAGGAAGGTGGTCATAGAGTGATACCACAAACTGCGGAGTGTTTGTCATTGTCATGCTTTCAGGAATTGTCGGTCATAGTCTTGATTGAGTGGTACCGAGCTCCATGGGTGCAAGTATCGGGTTGAAGATCTTTGGGCTCCGGGGTGGCAACCCTCTACACCACAATATGGGTGGTTGTCAAAAATTGTGGCCCCTTTTTGGGAACCCTAATACAAATATTAGGTGCCGTACTATAATAAGGACCCAAAAAGTGACCCTAATTTTGACAACCACCCATATGGTTGAACCAGTATACCAAACTGAACCCCAAAAGCGGGTTCTGAAAGGAATTCTTGGACGGAGGTCTGTGCTGAAGCTTCAGGGACATGGCTTTTGGTTCTGCTGGTGGGCCATATCAGGTGAGCTTGGCCTCGGGCTTCGCGCTTGGGGTCAGGCTGCTTTCAGCTTCGTTTCACCGATTCCAAAAACCCGAATACAAGCGCCTTAACAATTGAATTGGACTTTTTGGGGTATGTTAAACTATGATTGTAAAAATTAACAACCATGATAATTAACAATGTTATAATACAGTAAAATCAAAAATAAATGACAATTCGAAACAGAGCAGCATATAATAATGTTGAATTCTAATGATAACAATGACAACAATAATGGTGAACCCCAGAATCGAGTCTGTACTTGTTTAGGCCCCAAGAAAAAAGCCGTCGAGCAAAGCAGACACCCTCGAAGCCGGCTATGCGAGCTCCGCACAGTCCTCCGTCCGAAAGGTTCAGGGTTGAGGGTTTAGGGGTGTCTATACTGATCTTAGAACCCTAGCAAAAATTTCAATTCTAGCTGTTTCTTAGGGATTATAATAACCAAAAATTAAAAAACTATTTCTAAGTACCCCTAAGGTGTAGGCTTCGGGGTATAGGGTTTAGGGATTTCGGGTTCAAGGTTTTAGAGCTATTGGGACACCCAGCACCTCCCAGGCCTCTCAGTCTTGCCTTTGCACCATTCCGGATCGTCGTCAAACCTGTCTTTCTTGCAGCCGCTCACCCTTTCTGGCTCCTCTTCTGGAGCTTCTCCTCCCACGCTAGCAGCTGGAACCTGTCCGGCATCAAAAGCTGCGCCAGATCCATCTTCCTCTACACGATGGCCGCGAGGTGCGCAGCGGCTGTTGCAACGCTTCGTCGGCGATGGAGACTGGCACTTCTTGGAGTGTTCCTCCATTGACCATATTTTGGAAATATGGCCCACCAAAATGCATCCAAATGACTCTGAAGCCTAAACCCTGAACCTTGAATATCCTCAAACCCTCCGACACAAATCCAGACCCCCCGACTGAGAACCCAGCTAATTTCCGCGCAGCGAGCGGGTGCCGGAAGACGGTCGGCGGCTGGTCGATCCTGGGGATTTCACATGGTGGGGGAGGCAGTCGGAGAGAAGAGCGTGAAAGAAACAAAAAGAATCGAAGCTGAAAGCTCCTGAACTGGCCTGGGGTACTTCGTAGGAGGGGTTTGTTCCATCTTGCCCTCAAGCGATGTATGAGGGTCCTGTGTTCAAAACCCTAAACCCTAAACCCTAAACCCCCAAACCTCAAAGCAGACTGTCCGGACTCATCCAAGACTCCGGGTCCAACGGAACTTCTTGGTCCCCGCAACCTCAGCAGAAAAAAAGAGGAGCCAGGCGGGGCTTGAGTTGCAGGCGCACTACAGTAAATCGCAGAGGTACAGGTCAGGGTTCTTTGCCTTAAGGGCCTGTAGTTCCGGAGTTCAGAGCTTGAGGCGTGATGAGCAGTTCTGCTAACTAGGATACCCAGTAACCTAAGAATAAAAAGGCCTCTCTTTTTGGTATTGGGTAACTTTATAAGGAACCCCCCCTAGGACTACAAGAAGGGAATAAGGGTACTACTGGGCATCCTAGTTAAGGGTTCAGGGCAAAGTTTAGCATTCAGAGTAACTCTAACTCTGGGATACCCAGCAGCTGCAGCAAGAAAAACAGCGAAGAACCTATGGTGTGCAGTGCAGGAGGGTCTTGAAACTAAGGGTTCATGTTCGGGGCGTCTGTACGACAAAAACATTACGATCATGAAATTGTCATTGGTATTCGTTGTAGTCTTACCACTATTGCCAAGGTTGCTATGCTTCATGATAATACAGTTATCTTCGTCTTAAACCATCATGACTTTTGACGTGGCTCTTGCTATTATTGCTCATATTCCCCTTCTGTGTACACTAGGATCCAACCCTAAACCCTTTTGAAGCTCCAATATCCCCAAATTAACCCTAACCCCCAAAGCCTGAACCCTAAACCCTAAACCTATAAACCCTAAACCCTATAAACCCTAAACCCCCCTTCTCCCCAAACCCCTAAACCCTAAACCCTTTTGAGGCTCTGGCCTTGATAGCGCCCTTGGTATCGCGGATTTGTCTCGCAAGGGTCTGCACGGCCTTCGATCCGATGCAAGGGCGGAACACGGCGCGGCTTTGTAGCGAAGTCCGCTTCCTAAAACCCTGGGTTTATGTTTTAGCGATTAAGGTTTAGGGTGTAGGGTTTAAGGTTTAGGGTTTCGGGTTTAAGGTTTAGGGTTTCGGGTTTAAGGTGTGGGGTTTAGGGTTTAGGGTTTAAGGCTGAACCACTAAGCCTTGTAATCCAAGCCGCAGCTAGGACAACTGAGTCTCAAAAGTACTCCGGTGATGTCTTCGTTCAGCTACATGACTAGTGCTGCACACGGGCACGAGGTCACCTCGAAAGCAAGGAAGCCAGAGACTCCAATATCCCTTAATTAAGGAATATTCCTTGAAATATAGTAGGATCCCTAATATGATTTAAGGAATATTCCTTAATTATGGGATATTGGAGTCTCTGGGAAGCTGCCTAAATCCTCGCCTTGGCAATGTCCACCGCCTGACCCACGCCTTCCTTGAAGAGGCCCGGGCGGTCGCAGAGAGCCTGAGCTCCATAGATACTTGGAAGGGCAGGGGACTTAGTAAGTAGGTTATAAGTAGGGTTATAATTGTGGTAGCTCCATTTAGGGTACTTATAACTCTACTTATAACCTACTTACTAAGTCCCCTGCCCTTCCAAGTAGTATTTTTTCCCACGGGCAAAGCTGAGCCCCCGACCATCGCTGTGCACGCAATCCGAAACACACAAGAATATAATCAAGCGAGACCAACTATAGACAATGCCGCTTCCAATGTGTCCATAGATAGTATAGGGGGCTGAATAATTCGAATAGGGTTTCCAAAGCGATTCCTTCAAAAGGCGTCTATCATGGTTTCTACGAGAGCTGAAGGATCTAGGGGCCTTTAAGATCAGAATGGGGTTTTGCGGGTAGTTTTTGTTGGTACATTATAACACGGAGCCCTAAGGATCACAAGGAGGAGCCCTGGGGATCATTTTGGTAGCTACTTACAGTAGAAGCCAGAAAGTTGGAATATCATTATCGTAACCCCTTTAAGGTAAGTTATAGGGGATCCTACCATCAATCCATATTCCAACTTTCTGGAGTTCCCTTTATGGAGGCTTCTACTATAGTATACATTATGTCCGTTCAGGGTTCGAGGTTTAGGGTTTCGGCTTATCGGCTCAAGGTTTAGGGTTCAGGGTTCAGGGTTTAGGGTTTAGGGTTCAGGGTTTAGGGTTCAGGGTTTAGGGTTCAGGGTTCAGGGTTTAGGGTTTAATGCATACATACGCACATATGCAGAAGTACATGCCCGCATGCTTACATTCCGTGATGCTTTGTGTTGCATTGCCATTACAAGTACAGAGTTATATACTTCACCCGGCCTTACATAACTACAACTGACTACACTGCCCCTAGCCCAGAACCCGACATCCGACACCCTAAACCCACACGTTGAAAAAAGCGGGTTCGGCTGGGGCAGGGGCTGCATCATAGGCCCGGTAAAAGTTGTGGATCTGCTCCTGACGAAGATGGGCCGTGTTGAGGGTCTGGGCTCGAAGAGCTTCCGGTCTAGGACCCATATCTCGGGATTAGGAAGTTCGGGCTCAAGACACAGAAATCAGGAACCCAGAGCCCTGAAACATAGACCCTGGGCCCTAAACCCCTGATTGAGAATTCCGAAGGGCAGGTCTGGGGTTTAGGGCCCAGGACGGACGACAATCGACACCGGAGAAACCCAAGCCAAGGAGCTTAAGGCCATTCAGCAGAGACTGACGGCATTCCCCTAAATAAAGTTCTCACCGTTTCGATAATTGTCCATAAACCCGGAACCCCAAACCCCAAATCCTCCCCAAACCCCAAATCCTCCCCAAATCCCAAGATCCCTGAACCCCAAAACCCCAAACCCTAGCGGCCTCCCTTCGGTTTTGCTCGATGGCCTCGAAGTCCTTGTCGTGGAGTCGGGATGCGAGTTGTAGGCTTTGGGGTCTAGTCTTTACCCTCACACTATGAGGATTCCCGGGCTCATGCTCCACTAAACAACTAGAGCCCTGCCACCCTACAGCCCCTGAAGCCCATATACAACAGATCCTTGAACCGCAAACCTTAAACCACAATTCCTAATGCAGGGGCTTTAAACAGTTTAATTGGGTTCAAAATAGTGTAGGCAGTAATTAAGCCCCGGTAGTACATAAACCTCAGACACTGCGACCACTTTCAGGCTCCGGCAGGCTTGCCGTCAGCTCGCTTCCTTGGCTCGTCTCTGGTCGTTATGTGAAGCAAGGGTCTAGGGTTTAGGGTTTAGTGTCTGGACCCCTAAACCCCTGAACCCCAAAACCCAAAGCACCCAAAGCGCCCTAAACCCCTAAACCCCCTAAATCCCCAAACCCAAGGCACCCGAAGCCCTAAACCCCTAAACCCCAAAACCCAGAGCACCTAAGCATATAACCCCTAAACCCGCACCCCAAAACCCTAAACCCGAAATCCGAAACCTTTAAAACCCAAACCTTGCACCCCAAAACCCTAAGCCCATAAGCAGCAAGGCGCTTTGGGTTCCGCCCTTGAGGTCTTCGCACACAGGGAACCGAGGCTTCGGGTCTGGTCTTGTCGGGTTTGGGCTTTAAGGGTTTAGGATTTAAGTTAGGGTTTAAGGTTTAGGGTTTAGGATTTAGGGTTTAGGGTTTAGGATTTAGGGTTTAGGGTTTAGGATTTAGGGTTTCGGGTTTTGGGGTTTGGGTTTTAAAGGTTTAGGATTCAGGCTTTAGGGTTTTGGGGTGTAGGGTTTGGAAATTGGAAAGGTTTCGGATATAGGGTTTAGGGTTTTGGGGTGTAGGGTTTAGGGTTTGGGCTTAAGGGCTACGGATTTAGGGTTGGGGGTTTGGGGGCTTAATACATAGCGTTTGGGGTTTAAAGCAAAGGGTTCGGGGTTTTAGGCTTTATGATGGTTTAAAGAGGGTGTTCGTAGACATACTTCGGTGCAGATGCAGACTCGATCACGATATCTGACAAGTGCAATTCTTACCCAACCTTTTTGTCTATGGGGTATTTATCGAGGCTTCCGCAATGCCCTTTGTCTGCCCACGCCCCTTCTTCGCCTAATTGATGAACCTGACCAGACCCCAAGCACCGAAAAGCGCTTAGAACCTTGAGCCTTAAAGTTTACCAACACCGGCGTAGGGTTGAGGGTTTAGGGTCACAAAATCTAGCTCAAAACCTACGCCCCAAACCAACATCAGCCTTGCCCAAGGCTCACTAGCTCTTGATCGTTGCCGGACCCACAGAGCAAAGCTTGGAGCATGTGGACCTCGGAGCTTGACACAAGCGTGTTTGTAATAGTATAATATACATATATATATATATATACATACATACATACATACATATTGAGTATTAGATTCTTACATATTGCATACTGTATATTTGTTCTTGGCCCGCGAGAGCCACCCCAAACCCTAAACCCTGAAAACGGTTTCAGGCTCAGTTGCGAATGTCGGTGCAAGAGCTGGTTCGGAAGCTGCTTAGCGTCCCCGTTAGATAGTTACATAGATTGGAACTATAAGCACATAGATAGGCAGATCGATCGGCATATGGATAGACAGATGGATAGATGGAAAGACGATAGATGGGTAGATGGATAGATGCGTAGATAAATGGATAGTTAGATAAACAGATAGACAGATAGATGGACAGACAGACAGACAGACCGACGGACAGACAGTCAGTCAGACAGACAGACACAGGCGGGCGGGCAGTCTGGAAGGCAGACAGATGGACACACAGACAGACAGTTAGATCGCGCCCAACCCCAAGCAAGAGCACCACGACCTTAACCCAGAGGGAATATAGAGACCTTGATGAAGACCAGGGTGTTGGTGAATAACATAGTAAGGTTATTTAAGAACTACACGAGAGGTGCGCCGAGCGGCCGCATCCAAAGAGGATACCTGTGGTGAGACCAAGTTCTCGTGCGACTGGACTCCAACGTCCTTCCGGATTGGATGGTTCTGGGGTTTTGGTGATTGCACACTCGGTACACCCTTCCGCCAAATCGGGCCACCTTCACAGATTGAAAGAGTCTGGAAACATCCTGACTGAAAGCTCACAAACAGTATTCCATCTGAGTGAATGGCACGAGGACAATCGGAAACCAGATTTTACTGGTTAGATGAGAGAGACTCAAGAAGGGCAGGGAGGATCATGCGACAAGAGAAGAGTCTTATTCCAACTCACAAACCAGAAACTGTGGCAGAAGGACACTAGATTGACTCTATTCTTGCCATTCTGGGCAATAGTACATGGTTGGGGATAGCCCGCAACACAATCCAGGCGTCTTTCGTAAAGAAGGCGAAAGCGTCACGTGCATGTGGACATAGCATACATACATATATATATATATATATATATATGTATACGCCATATATATATATATATATATATATATATGAAAAAGACACGAGACAATCGGCACATGCATGCGTATACACTGATGTCTGCATGCATGCAATGGATGGATGGATGGATGGATGGATTGAGGGATGGATGGATGGATGGATGGATGTAGGTAAGCAGGTAGGTACGTACATACATACATCAGAACATACACTCCGCCGCTATTCTATGCCTACAATGTATGTGTCTGTGCAGACACATATGTATAAGCACATATATATATATATATATACACACATATGTGGATATATGTGTATCTGCATCTATACGTGTGTACATGTGCTATGGACGGATGGATGGACATGGATATGGATATGGATATGGATATGGATATGCATGGAAATGCATGGACATGGATGAATATGGATGAATATGGACGGATATGGATGGACATGGATGGATCTGGATAGGTATGGACGGACATGGACGGACATGGATGGATATGCAGATGGATATGGATGGATATGGATGGATATGGACGGATATGGATGGATATGGACGGATATGCATGGATATGGACGGATATGGATGGATATGAATGGATATGGATGGATATGGATGGATATGGATGGATACGGATGGATATGGATGGATATGGACGGATATGGATGGATGGAGGGAGGGATGGATGGATGCACGCACGGACGTATCTATGTCCGCGTGCGTGCATGTGTGTGTATGTGTCTGCAAGTACGTACGTATGCAAGTAAACATGCATGCATGCATACATGCAAGCAGGCAGGCATGCATGTAAGTGTGCGCTGTGTGTGTGTGTGTGTGTGTGTGTGTGTGTGTGTGTGTGTGTGTGTGTGTGTGTGTGTGTGTGTGTGTGTGTGTGTGTGTGTGTGTGTGTGTGTGTGTGTGTGTGTGTGTGTGTGTGTGTGTGTGTGTGTGTGTGTGTGTGTGTGTGTGTGTGTGTGTGTGTGTGTGTGTGTGTGTGTGTGTGTGTGTGTGTGTGTGTGTGTGTGTGTGTGTGTGTGTGTGTGTGTGTGTGTGTGTGTGTGTGTGTGTGTGTGTGTGTGTGTGTGTGTGTGTGTGTGTGTGTGTGTGTGTGTGTGTGTGTGTGTGTGTGTGTGTGTGTGTGTGTGTGTGTGTGTGTGTGTGTGTGTGTGTGTGTGTGTGTGTGTGTGTGTGTGTGTGTGGTGTGTGTGTGTGTGTGTGTGTGTGTGTGTGTGTGTGTGTGTGTGTGTGTGTGTGTGTGTGTGTGTGTGTGTGTGTGTGTGTGTGTGTGTGTGTGGTGTGTGGGGTGGGTGTGTGTGGGTGTGGGTGTGGGTGTGGGTGTGGGTGTGGTGTGGGGGTGGGTGTGGGTGTGGGTGGTGGGTGTGGGTGTGGGTGTGGGTGTGGGTGTGGGTGTGGGTGTGGGTGTGGGTGTGGGTGTGGGTGTGGGTGTGGGTGTGGGTGTGGGTGTGGGTGTGGGTGTGGGTGTGGGTGTGGGTGTGGGTGTGGGTGTGGGTGTGGGTGTGGGGGTGGGTGTGGGTGTGGGTGTGGGTGTGGGGGTGGGTGTGGGTGTGGGTGTGGGTGTGGGTGTGGGTGTGGGTGTGGGTGTGGGTGGGTGTGGGTGTGGGTGTGGGTGTGGGTGTGGGTGTGGGTGGGTGTGGGTGTGGGTGTGGGTGTGGGTGTGGGTGTGGGTGTGGGTGTGGGTGTGGGTGTGGGTGTGGGTGTGGGTGTGGGTGTGGGTGTGGGTGTGGGTGTGGGTGTGGGTGTGGGTGTGGGTGTGGGTGTGGGTGTGGGTGTGGGTGTGGGTGTGGGTGTGGGTGTGGGTGTGGGTGTGGGTGTGGGTGTGGGTGTGTGGGTGTGGGTGTGGGTGTGGGTGTGGGTGTGGGTGTGGGTGTGGGTGTGGGTGTGGGTGTGGGTGTGGGTGTGGGTGTGGGTGTGGGTGTGGGTGTGGGTGTGGGTGTGGGTGTGGGTGTGGGTGTGTGGGTGGGTGGGTGTGTGTGTGTGTGTGCGTGTGTGCGCACACACACTTACACACTCCCATATCCAATTCTTGATGCAATGCTAAACCCCAAAACCTTTAGCCTGTTTAAGTTATACCTTTTTTGTCCTTGCATAACTATAATGCACCATGCAACCCCAAACACAGTGTAATTAGTCAGGCTCCTGTATGCCCCAATTCCCAGTTTGCATGTTCATGACTCCTGGACGAACTGATCGAGAAACATCCGGTCTTCCGTTAAGCCATATGCCTTCCGACTCATTAGCTTGAGGTTATGGCTTGCAAGGCTTAGGGTTTAAGAGAGCTCAGAGCGTTTAGGATTCAGGGGCCAGTTAGGGTTTAGGGTTTAGGTGTTTAGGGGTTTAGGATTTAGGAGTAAAAGGCCATTGCGCTTTAGGGGTTGAGGCTCAGACTGGTCGGGTTGAGGGTGTAACGTAGGGGCGGCCTAATAATTAGAATAAGGTTTGGGGGCCCTTTCTACTGTAATGATAATAGGGAACCCCCAAAATAGTATACCCCTATAGTAGACCCTAAACCCTGAAGCCTAAACCCTGAACCCAAAACTAGCACTGGTAGTTGTTTCGGACCCTGCAGTAGTTTAGCATTGGGGAGGCACCTCTTCCGAGGCTTTGGGAGTTTTAAGTACACATTAGGTTGCATGAAACTGACTACAAGAAAGTATCTCAAGGCTTTTGGGATCTTGCAACACATGTTGACATGACTAGAACAGGGTACATTATCGTGCACTTCCAACCCCGGGAGACAATCATTACATGGGTAGGTCTCTTCCCTTTTTGGATCTTTTTCATGAGCTGCCGTATTGGTTACGGGGACCCAAATACCAAAAAAAAAACTCTGATTTAGGGAAATACCCGTCTTGCTAACGCGTCTGGAATCTTTGAGGTTTCGGCTTTGTGGCTCGACTTGCGAGTTTCCGAAAATTAGGGGTACCTTATTTTGGGGTCCATATAATAAGAATCCTACTATGAAGGGTCCTATATTAGGGTCCCCCGTTAAACCCCCACTTGGGGGTTGGTTTTGCCTTAGGATTTACAGCGTGAAGGCTTAGGGGCCAGTGCTTTACGCCTTTTAGGGTTTAGGGTTTAGGGTTTATGCCCGGGGAGTAGGGCTTAGGGTTTTAGGCTTTCTGCGGCTGGTTGTGTGGAGTTTGGAGCTTTGGAAGGCCGTGGCTTGGCAAGCTAACGCCCCAAAACTCTGTGACTGCCTTGGTGTGCACCTGCCACCTAGACCGAACACCGCAGCTCGAAATCTCGAACACAAATTCCAATCGCTTCAGAATTCAGAATGCCTGCGACAAACTATAGTATGGTTATGTAGTTATATAGTGCCTATTTCAGAATATCATTACTTTGAACCAGGCCCCTGTAGTAACCCCAAAGCCCTCAACTCGAAACCCAGTTCAGTTCTCAGGGTCTTGGGTGTCCCGGCCTTGCCATGCTTGGTGAAGTTACCACGCACGGCTCTCCGTGTAGGAGCCTCCATGTACCGGAAGTACTGTCTATACTCACCTCGCTTGGAGAGAGCTTGGAGGGGCAGGGGGCTTAGTAAGTAGGTTATAAGTAGGGTTATATATAGGGTAACTCCATCTAGGGTACTTATAACTCTACTTATAACCTACTTACTAAGTCCCCTGCCCTTCCAAGAGGAGGCTTCAATCGCAGTTGAAAGTCAGGAGCTTGGGGGCTCAGACTCAGCTAAGCCAAGCCTGAAACCCGAGACTCCAGTATCCCTTGAGTAAGGAGTATTCCTTCAATCATATTCGGGATCCTACTATAATTTCAGGTATATTGCTGACTTAAAATCTCCAAAAACGCCTGAAGCTGTCGAAACATTCCGGCCGTTCCCTAAAAAAACTTTGGCATGGGGACTTGCAGTCGAGCCTTGGAACCTCTATGCCCACATCCAGAAGCATCTTCCATGCAATGCCCAAGCCAGCCAAGCCCCCAACGAACCCTGGATCCCCCCAAGCCCCCGAGATCGTAAACATCCTCGACAGGCGAGAGAAGACATCCACAAAGCCCCGAAGATGGAGCTCTTCGGGATTAGGGTTTCGGACCCCAAACTCTAAACCCCTAAACCCCTAAACCCCAACTCCGACACCCAAAACCCTAAACCCAACTTCGAAACCCTGAACCCCAAAACCGCAACTCCGAAAACCCTAAACCCCAAACCCAAAACCCTAAACCCAACTCCGAAACCCCCAGAACCCCCTTCGTACCAGGCCCGGGGTGCTAGGCGCCATCCCCGCCGTGGCGAAGAAGTTCTTCATCGCGCGGATGCCGGCGTCCCAGTGCAAGCTCCTGGGCTGCTACGGTTGATGATATAAATTCTGCATTACCCATAATAAGGAATATACCATAAATCCCATAGTTTAGGGTCAAGAAGGTAATGCAGGATTTATATCATCAACCGTAGAAGGGGGAGTTTTAAGGTTTAGGGTTTAGGAATTGGGGTTTAAGGGTTTAGGGTTTAGGGGTTTTGGGGTTAAGGGGTGTTGGATTTAGGACTTAGGTATTTAGGTTTTAGGTATGTAACCTAAACCCCAAACCGCCCAAACCCCCGAACCCCCGACCATTCAAGCTGCATCGCGGCATAGAAGTATGGGCCTCGGATGCAGAAGCATATGGGAGTTTCCGAAAATAGGAGGGTGCCTTATTTGGGGTGGGGTCCTTAAATAAAGAACCTACAATTTAGGGTGCTATATTAAGGTCCCCTATTTTCGGAAACTCCCATATCGATTCAATTCGATTACTGGGTCAAGGCTGAGCGCTTTATAGGAGGGTGCTAAAGGGGTCTGCAGGTGTTCAGGGTGTCAGGGCTTCGTGGTCGTTAGGCTCTGGGAGTAGGCAGGGTTCAGGGTTCAGGGTTCGGTGTTGAGATGTACGGCTGGCTCCCCTCAACCCTGTCAAGGATTGAAGAAGCATGGAGGCGGTGAGTCTAGTTACTGATCCGGGCTCTGCTCAAAATCGCGGCGAGACTACTTCTTACTGTCGCTCGTCATCTTCTTCGTCTTCTGCAGTTTGATTGAAAGTTGAAAGCTTGCACATCAGAAAAAAAACACTCGAAACTTTGCTTCAGCTGGCTTGCTGAAACAGATTCCTACCCTTCTTCTCCACTGAGACCCCGAACGCTGTCATATAGGAGACTTACGGGAGCTTGATAAATACCAGTGGCTTTTGGGATACGTGACGATATGACACCATCCCTGAACCCTATTTGAGCCTTTTAATAACAGACGGGACCCAATATGTAGAACCCAAATGTCTCTTAAAACCCCATGAATCGGAACCAAACCAGCAAGCCGAATCCTTGACAAGTTGCATGGGACGAAAGAAACCCTAAACCCTCAACAGAAAGAATTAAACAGCTTAGGGCAACTGAGCGCGAGAGGCTTCCCTTCTGCGTAACTTGTGACTTCCAGTTCGGATGGGATATACCCAGAGACTCCAACATCCCTTAATTTAGGAATATTCCATAGATCATATTAGGGATCCTACTATAATCTAAGGAATATTCCTTAATTAAGGGGTATTGGGCTCTCTGGTTATAGACCCTATACGCGCCAAAATCAGCCCAAACCCTCAAACGCCTGGACTTGGAAGGCAGAAAATTGTAAGCCTAAACCGAGCGGCTGTGCAGCATGGACTCTTCGAGACTCCAATGCTTATAGAGCGTCAGCCTCATCAACGTTGAGGTTTTATGGCTTTGGGCTCAGAAGAGAGGTAAATAGGGTTCAGGATTTCAGGGTACGGCGGCCTTGGTTTCAGGACCTTGCTAAGGAAGGAAGCGCACAAAGAAGATAAAGAAATCGTTTCCAAGTGCAGAACAATAGGGCCTTCAATAGGGCTATGACGGTGACGCTGCTGCTGCCACATCATCATCATCACCATCAGCCATCGTCGTCATCATCACCATCAGTATGACAATCCGAAAGGCAAGTCAGGTCCATAATCATCAGAACCCAGCCTGAAGAGCAACCTAACCCCTGAAACCCTAAACCCTGTCCTTGCCTTAGATCGTTGTCGAAGCGCAACTTCTTCTCCTGGAGCAGCAACTCGCCAAAAACACGAGTATGCAGGGTTGTGGGTTCATGGCTATGGCCGACGGCTGTTCCGATATCAAGCTGCTGCTGCTGCTGCTGCTGCTGCTGCTGCTGCTGCTGCTGCTGCTGCTGCTGCTGCTGCTGCTCCTACTACTACCACTACAACTGCTGCTGCTGCTGCTACTACTACTACTACTACTAATACTAATACTACTACGACTACCACTAATAATAATAACAATAAATAATAATAACTACTATGATTGCCACCACCACCACCATCACCACCACCACCACCACAACGACCCCGACCGCTACCGCTACTGCTGCTGCTACCGCTACGACGAGTCCTACGACTACTGCTGCTCCTGCTTTGCTCCGGCTCCCGCTCCCGCTCCGGCTCCTGCTCCTGCTGATAGTGGTGCCAATGCCATGCTGATGCTGATGCTGATGCTGATGCTGATGCTGATGCTGATGCTGATGCTGCTGACGCTGCGGCTACGGCTACGTCTCAACGACGACTGTGCAGCCGGCGACTACTCCCACCAATACCACTGCCACTGCCACACTGCCACTACGATAATTAGTGTCACCATGGGTGCTTAAGGCTCGAAACAACTCTTATGACCAGTATTGTTAGTACTGTTGGTATTGCAAGTGTGCCCATGACGTACATTTGCAAGTGAATGCTCGAATAACGGGTTTTCGCAGCTTCACAAGGTCCCAGAGCGATGCAAACATAACGCAACAACCGTACAACAAAAGCTTTGCCGAAAGTTCCGCAAACTAAACCCCTGAATCAAAGAATCCAAGACCGCTTAATTCCGGGATATACTTCAATTTCGACCAGGTCTACTTTTATACCTGAAGGTATATTCCTAGATCTTCGAGATTCCCTTGCTCAAGGAATGGACCTTAAATCATGCTTAAGGAATATACTTTAGACTTTAACTTATAGCAGGATCCCAAATACGATTTAAGGTATATCGGTGTCCCTAAACCCTAACCCTAAACCCTGAACTCTAAACCGCCTAAACCCCAAACCCTGAGCCCTAGACCCTTCCTTAATTTAGAGCTTTTGGAAGATCTGGGCTGTTCTGCGACACCCCGCCTTGGGCGGGGCCCGCGGCCGGATGAAATCCTGCTCCTGGCGTATCCGAGCTTTAGGGTTCACGAAACACCCCCGAAACCCTACACCCCTAACCCCTTAGATACCTAGATACGACTCTAACCCTAGTGAATGCTCCTCAGAAGCGTTTCCTTCAAAGACGTCCGATTCCCTCCATCCTCGATATGCTTGTGTTTCACCACAACCGACCTCGGACCCTAAACCCTAAACCCTAAACCCTAAACCCTAAACCTCGCCTGGCTTGTCCGGGTGTGAGCGCTGAAACCCTGAACCCCGGGACCCCAAAACCTTTGGGTGTACCCAAAGCCTCCAAAACCCCCTTAATTAAGGAATATACCTTAAATTATCATAGGATCCCTTATATGATTTAAGGTATATTCCTTAATTAAGGGGTTTTGGAGGCTTTCTAGGTGGGGCTTTTAGAGCCTTTGAAAACTATTAGTAAACAAGATCCTCTTAAGCCCAATAAGGGGAAATTTAAAATGTCCCAAAGCCCTACCTAGCTTTGGGTAGGGATGCCCGGCACTTCCTACAAGGGGTTCTCTGACGCTGGGCGACTTCAGAGCTTCAGGAGTTCGGCCTTCATTGCTTGGGGATCTAAAGGGAACTCCAGAAAGTTGGAATATGGTTTCAGGGTAGGATACCTTATAATTTACCATAAAGGGTTTAGGATAATCATATTCCAACTTTCTGGCTTTTACTTTAGGGCTTTTGGTTGAAGGGTTTAGGGCTTACTTGGAAGGGCAGGGGACTTAGTAAGTAGGTTATAAGTAGAGTTATAAGTACCCTAAATGGAGTTACCCCAAGGAAAACCCTACGTATAGCCTACTTACTAAGTCCCCTGCCCCTCCAACTAGGGTTTCGGGCTTCAGTGTTTCGGGATCTAAGTTTTTGGGTTGAAGGGAGCTGACTCTCCTCTGTTTCGGTCGTGAGGCCGGGTTTAAGGCTTCAGGGGCTGCAATTGCAACTGATACTGGTAACGTTCAGACGTAGAAACGACTTGCTGGGCTTAAAGGTTTGAAGCACTGGAAATACACTGTCGACGTGGAAGCCTGCGGCAATTGTAGGAAAAACTATGCTGGAATGACGCAGCTGGAAAATTCGTGGGAAGGGATTGTGCTGCAGTCCGATCGGAACACTGCGATTGAAAGCAGGAGGGGCATAAGGCGAAGTCACGAATGCTCTGGCATCATGCTTTCCAGTTTCGGTGTGCTAACACCGTGCAGAGATGACGGAACTATAAGGGAGTTTCCGAAGATGAGGGGCAACTTATTTTCGGGGTTCTTGTAACAAGGATTCTAGTATTTAGGGGACTAGATTAGGGTCCCTATTTTCGGAAACTCCCATAACAAGCCAGCATAAACCGCACACAACGAGGTAGGCAGCAAGCCTCATCATCGGACAGGGCACCTCGGCGGATCAGACGCTGAGCTATAATCTCTAAGTTCTTAGGGTTTAGTCAAGTGTAGGGTTTAGGGTTCAGAGCTGTAATCTCCAAGTTGTTAGGGTTTATTTAGTCGAAGATGCAAGCAAGAGCTCCAATACAAGAAAAAAACAACAGACGAGCTTCTAAATGCAGCGACAACGGGCGTGGGAGAACGACGATGATTAGAACAACTCCCCACCAGCACGATCAGCATGAGCAGCAGCCCGAAACCCTAACCCTGACCCCCAAACCCTTAATCCCAAATCCCAAAACCCTGAAGCCTAAACCCCAAAGCCAAACAATGCACACCAAAGCCGAAACCCTTAGCCCTGAACCCTCCACGGCAACTGGCAGGATGGCATGGCCGACGACGACACCCAAAAGGGGACCAATAACGGTTTAGGGTCTTGAACAGTCTAGGGTTTTGGGTTTAAGGCTCAAGGTTTAGGGTTCAGACTCGTGTTAAAGTGTTGCCATCCAAGTTGCTATCTCCCTGCGTGGAGCGTAGACTGCCTGTCGAGTTGAAGCTGTCGTCGACAGAATCCAAGGCCTTGTTGAGTGGTTGTCAAAATTAGGGTCCCTTTTTGGGTCCATATTATAGTACATACGGCACCTGATATTTAGGGTACCCAAAAAGGTACCATAATTTTGACAACCACCCTGGTGCGGACTGGGGGTTTCGAGATCTACGGTTCTGGGTCTGAGTCTCAACCCTGAAAAACTCCAAAAACCAACAGAGACCTGGACCCTACCAACCCTAAACCCTAAACCCCTAAACCCCTAAACCCCTAAACCCTAAACCCTAAATCCCTGAAAACCTGAAGAAGCCCATGAACCCGACACGCGGGTTGGTTGGGAGTGTAGGTTTAAGAGTTCCTCAGGGAGTTGAGTCTACACTTTTGGGCGGTGGCGTCGTCTGCAGTTCCGATCCTGTGGTCGGATATTCAGAGTTTTGAAGTCTAGAGTTTGGGTTTAGGGCTTCAGGGCCCTAAACCCTAAACTAAACCCACAATCCCAAAGAGGTTAGTGCTAGGCTTCTGCAGGGTCTACAGCAGGGTTTGGTGTAAACCCGAAACCCGAAACCCTTTCAAAGGTTCCTTGAAGGGCTACACACTCTCCTCTATAGACACTCCTAGTATAGGAACCTCATTAAGAAACCTTGTGCCTTTCTTCGGGCTCTTTATATGAATCCTAATATATTGGGTGTTATAGGGCCAGGGTTTCTTACTCAGGTTCCTACATTAGGAAAGTTCCCAAAAGGATCATGAAGCCGTGAGACTTCCGAAACCTAGGGACATCCTTGGGGTTTTCGGGACCAGGTTTAGGGATCAGGGTTTAGGGTTTAGGGATTAGGGATTAAGGTTTAGGTTCAAGGGTTTATGTGTGTGTTGTTCTTTTGCATGTCCTTTTCCAACTGCGGAGTGGTAGAGGGGTCGGGGTTCAGGGGTTTTGGTTCAGAGTTTAGGGTTTCTCGATGCCTTGGAAGCAGACCGGTGGTAATCGAACCTTTGGATTCTCGAGGCTTTGACGTTAGATTCTCTGATGCAGAGGGCTCAATCAGAAGTACTCTAAATTAGCCAGGCCCGTACACTATGAGTGTTTTTCCTGCCTCCTTCAACTGCTGCCACACCAGCTTGTTGTACCTAGGCAAGAGAAAGGTTCAGGGCTTGTTTGATTGCTCCCGGCTTCTGGCTCCTGGAACCCGGCAAACCAAAAAAAAAAGGTTTGCAGCTTTCTAAAAGCAGAAGTTTCTAGCGGCCCTCACCATCTCTCACGCTCGAAGAAACGAGCGGCTCTGTCTCCGCATGTAGGCCCCAAAATCCTAATATCTAAACCGCATAGAAGCAGAAAGCCGGTGGATCCTACAGGGAACCTTGAAGACCATCCTTGCAATAAGGATGCCTTTGAAGAAGCCAATGGCTGGTAAACGATTCTAATTTGGAAACCTGAACGGTTCCTTACTATAGGTTGTCCTATTGCATACCCCAAAATCCTGTTCCAGTTTTCAAGGTTCCTATAGCACTAATCTTCAACACGGGTCCACTGAAAGCGAGTTGAGATACAAACTCCCCTACAACTCGGTAACTTTCAAGGACTGCGACATACCTAGCTTTTAAAGGAGACCTGAGCAGCTTTAAATACGTCACAGGAGCCCGAAATCAGGGTATAAGGCTCGGTCGGACCTACGTCGGTCAGTGTCAACCTTCGGAGAGAAAAGGAAAAGGAGGCCTTGAGCCTTGAGCCATGGCATTAAATAGGGTTTAGGGTTTAGGGAGCTGAGAGCAAAATCTTGATCTTAAGCCCCAAAAGCGCAAAAATCAGTGTAAGTTAGGGTGGCGCTTCCCTTCGAGGCACCTGCTTCCGAACCCTAGAACCACGTAACGCTAAACCCAAAACCTCCTCAAGGCACAAACCCCTGAACCCCTCCATTGGGGTTTGGGGTATTTTGGGGGCTTCGGGAACCCTAAACCCTAAACCCCTCCATGAACCAGGCGAGGTGCTGCTCCTCACCCATTAGGCCAAGCTCCACATAGCCCAGAAGCCTCACTTGCTTCAAGGCTTTTAGAGGTTTAGGGTTCAGGGTTTGGGGGTTCATAAGAGGGCATTACGGATTCGGGGGTGTAGGGTTTACGCTTTAGGCTTTTAGGGTTTAGGATTTATGGTTCAAGGTTTCAAGCTTTTTGGGGTGGAGGGTTTAGGCATGTTTGGTCTTAGGGTTCAGGTGAGAGTTTGGTCGTCAGATGGGTTGGTGGCTTGGTTTAGGGCTTAGTGCATGGGCTTTAGGGGGTTCCAAGTTGCAAACCAAAAGTACAGCCGTCTGGGTTCCCTGCTGTTATTGAGAGCATTGATCGATTGAAAAATACAGGAAACGCCTGACCGATATCGCTGCCTTTACTACTGGTGTTGTTGAAGCCTGAATCATTACCAGGACTGTGTCGTTGGGTTCCTTGTATAGTTCTAGCACAATATATACTCCATGACCTTGTTCCAAGTATTACGGCACCTATAATACTGAAGTTAGCTTCCAGCTGAGAGCTGGTACACACGACAAGGATGCTGATAATGCTGATGATTCTGAGGGTGATGGTAACGATCACGATAGCGCTGGTGACTGTCACGAGGACAGGGTGGCGACGGTAATGGTGATGGTAATGATGGTGGTGGTGGTGGTGGTGGTGGCGGTGGTGGTGGTGGTGCGGCTGATGCTGCTGGAGGTGGCGCAGGAGTGACGTTGGTGCAATCTTTGCCCTCTCGGAACTTTTGCAAGACAGGAGGCCCCACAGCTGCGAGCCAGAGCACATTGTGCAAGTTCTGCGCCATGCGATGGGGGGTTTCGGGCACATAATTTACAGTACGCGTTCGGCAGGTTTGAGAAGAAAAAAAGCTTCTTCCTCGGGAAACGAGCCCATTTTGCGGCTCCTGTTGCCACCCTCACCGGCTATCCTTCTCTCGTGGAGCTTTAGGATCCTTGCCCTCGGCCCTCATCTCTCCACGCTCTTTAGACAAACAAGAAGTGGAATGTCAAGCTTCTCTGCTTCGTTTTGGGGGCCCATGCCATCATGACTGTTTCGAAATCGGTACAAGCAAGGGCAGAACCCAGAGAGAGAGAGACAGAGCTCTGGGTCTACTATCACGAATAACAGGGACATTAATATTTTCTTGCAAAAACCAGAGCGGTGCTGAGTGCAGGAATTGAAGGGGCAGGCTTGAGCCCTGCCGTTTAGGAACTACCACATGGCCCACCCCCGAAAGGAATCCTAAACCCCTAAACCCTAACCGCTAAATCCTACACCCCTAAAATCCTAAACCATTCCTAAACCGCGATACGTCCCTTATCCCCTAAACCCTAAACCCTAAACCCAAACCCCGCACCTGCTGACCCTTTGCTTGCTTCGCCATGTGGAACATGGACATTGAGGCCCTGAGCTGTCGAAAGCTTCGCCATGCGCCACACTACTTCTAGGGGTTCCTCAAAGGGATCTATAAGGGGTTCGATAGGGATTACCAAAAGGGACTTTCCTTAATGTTTAGGGTGTAGGGAATGGGGGAGTGGCTTCATGTAGGGGCCTTATTACTTAAAATAAGGATTCGGGTCCCATTATACTATAATTACAATAACGAACCCCCAAGATAGTACAGGTAATTATTACTAAAAGGAACCTTGAGGGACGCTCACAGGGATCAGATCCCCCGTTCCCTACTAATTGCCAGGGAGCTAAGGAAGACTCACTGGCCCAAAATCCAAGGAAACCAAAGTTGAAACTTTCAGAATCCACTACCTTATAAGAACCCCAAAAGTTGAAAAGTTGAGTTTGCAGCCAATCAGAAGACTCCTCAAATGATAGTGGGGTTTAGGGGCTCAGGGCTTTTGGTCTTAGGGTGCAGGGGTGGGGTAGGGTAGGGTGTTTAAGTGTTTAGCAGGGGGTTTACGGTCGGTTTTGGGGTTTGGGAATTGAGGGGTTTCAGGGCTTACGGCTTAGGATGCAGGGTGTAGGCTGGGGGGGTTGGGGTGCAGGGGCCTCAGGTTTAGGGGTTTAGGGGTTTCGGGGTTCAGGGTTTGAAGAAATTCTCTTACTTCAGGAATACTCGTTACCTGATCCCTAGTCCGCAAACCCTAAACTCTGAACCCCCAAACTTAAGCATAAAACCCCCCGAATCCTAAACCGCTCATGTACCCTTGAGGTCCCTGCCGAACCTGCCGGCCAGATGCTTGTTTAAGCTTTCAGGTTCAGGTGGCTTCATACAGCAATTCCGACTGGCACGGCATCAAACCAAGTAGATCTAGCGATGCTTGACAGCTGACTGTAGGACTGCTAGACTCAAAAGCACGACATGTACGGTCGTAGGTAGCAGGTACCCCCCCCAACTCATACCCCTTGGGAGAGTAAGGTAGGTACCCTGTTAAACCCCGCACGCGAAGAGCCCAAGCCCCAAGTCTCAGCCAGTGCCACGACGCGCTCTTCCCTAAGCCTCCAAAACCCCTTAATTAAATAATATACCTTAAATTATAATAGGGTCCCTTATATGATTTATTTAAGGTATATTCCTTAATTAAGGAATATACCTTAAATTATAATAGGGTCCCTTATATGATTTATCTAAGGTCTATTCCTTAATTAAGGAATATACCTTAAATTATAATAGGGTCCCTTATATGATATATTTAAGGTATATTCCTTAATTAAGGGGTTTTGGGGGCTCTGGGTTGCGGCTTGTGTCTCTAACAAACCGTCGGAGAAGGCTGGGATCGAAGGTGCAGCTTGCTCCTGGCAATAGGTACCCAGAGACTCCAATATCCCTTAATTGAGGAATACTCATTAAATCATATTAAGGATCCTACTATAATTTAAGGTATATCCCTTAATTAAGGAATATTCCTTAAATCATATTAAGGGTCCTAGTATAATTTAAGGTACATTCCTGAATTAAGGGATATTGGAGTCTCTGGGTACTTGGGGTGTGTACCTCGAACCTTCAGAACTCATCCGCTTCGGCAAGTCAGCAAAATGCCCGGCAGTGTAATATGCAGCCATGCCGCGGCATGGCATGGTAGGACATCATGTAGTACCTGACTCCGCAAGTCTCAAAAGCCACGAACTTAAGCCAAACCCTAAGCCCAAGAGTCCCAGAAACCTTGGACAAAGCAGTGCTGCTAAAATGGTTCGAACTGCGAACCCTGCAGTACATACATACTAGCATAGGTACCTAATTGCGTACTTATGTACGTACGTGCGCACGTACATACATACAGACATCTGGTGAGTATTACAATGAGCGTTGATGACTGTTGCTATGACTATTAGAAGCAAAACTAGCAAGCTTCTACGTCAGCGCGCTGCTTTAGACGATGGGGATTTGGAACATTTGCGTTTCGACTAGATAGTTCTAAAAACTCGGTTCTGGGTTTCGGTTGCGGTTCAGGGTTTAGGGGTATGTGATGTAACCTTTTCCATTCAAAACCAATTCCCGAAATCCGAGAGCCAAAAGCCAAGCCCATTGCGCAAGACGTTGCCGGCATGTTTGCATTTTTTCGGGTTCGACATGTCGGGTTTAGAGAATCTGGATGCGGTTTGGAATGTTTTGGTCGGCGCATTCGTGTTGGGGACGTAAAAAGGCCATGATAGGTTCTGTGAGTATGGCTGTGATTGTGAACGTAAGTATTCTGACTGAACCAGTCCTGCACCTCCCCCCATTCGGCTTTGAGACTTAAAAACTTACAGTTTACGGCTGGGGTAAAACCCAAAACCCCAAGCCCTAAACAACCCCAGAGGAACACCGAGCCGCTCTGTAATACGCTGACGCTTCAGGCGGCGCTTGTCCTCGCTAGGGCTTTGGGAATACGGTCGTACAACTACGAAGTTCCTGAGTATGTAGCCCCTTTACAATAAGGGTACCCTTTTTGATCTACTCTTCAATATTCGATTTTTGATAAGGGGACCGCAAAATAGAAATAAAAAAGGCAAAAGGGTACTGCTCAGGAACCTAGACCATATAGGGTCTACAGTGGATAGCAATACTAAGTGAGCCGACCTCTATATGAGATTTCGGGCGGTAAAGCATTGAAGGTTTAGGCTTCGTTATCGCTGTCGTCGTGTAGAACGGTAGAAGTACTCTCGGCAGTAAGCAGTATTAGGAGTAGTAGGAGAAGTGGGAGTAGTGGGAGTAGTAGGAGTAGTAGGACGAGTAGAAATAGTAGGAGTAGTAGCAGTAGTAGGAGTAGCAGGAGTAGTAGCAGTAGTAGGAGTAGTAAGAGTAGTAGGAGTATAGTAGGAGTATAGTAGGAGTGTAATAGGAGCACAGCAGGAGTACAGCAGGAGTAGTAGAAATAGTAGGAGTAGTAGGAGTATAGTAGGAGTAGTAAGAGTAGTAAGAGTAGTAAGAGTAGTAAGAGTAGTAAGAGTAGTAAGAGTAGTAGGAGTAGTAGGAGAAAAAAAACAGTAAGAGAAGTAGGAGTGAGTTGGGAGCAGGAGCACGAGTAGGGGTAGGAGTAGGAGTAATAGCAGCGGTAGGAGGAGCTATTACTGTATTTCTTCCTACAGCTGTAGCAGTCCTCCTTTGCCTCGCGTCTGCTCCGCTTGCGCTCGGACGATTCCAGAGAGGACTGAGGCGCCGCTGGCTTTAGGGCTTTGGGTATGACGGTTTAGGGTTTCTAGGGATTTAAGGTTTATAGGGTTTTAGGGCTTTGGGTTTAGGGTCTTAGGGTCTAGGGGTTTGGGGTTTTAGGGTTTAGGGTTTAGGGTTTTAGGGTCAGGGTTTAAGGGTTTCGGGCTCTTCTCACGGAAGTTTTCGCTTAGAGCAGAACAGGATCCGACTTCTCGAATCCAAGCCGAGCAATATCCCCTCATCAAACCTGTATGGGAGTTTCTGAAAATAGCGGACCCTACTAGAGTACCCTAAATAGTAGGATCCTTATTATAAGGAGCCCTAGATAAGGCACCCCAATTTTCGAAAACTCCGATATGATGATTGCGAAACCCTACTCCGAATTATTGAGGCCCTCGCTGTCTGGTTGGAGGATCCCTCGTTCTCTTTGTCCTCATCACCTCAGTTGGAGCACTCCCGAACTCACAGACATACCACACTCTGTGACAAGACACTGGCCCCGCACCTACTTGCAGGAACCGCTCGGAGCCAGTTTCTTGCAAGCCGTGGGTTTTGGGCATTAGGTCTAAAGCAGCCGCGAAGGCTGTCTTCGTCCAGCTCATGGGCGTCGTCGTCCTCGTCCAGCTCGTCGACAGGCGGGCGCTCGCCTCTTGTTGCTTCGTTCCACTGGCTCATTCCTTCCAACTATTACAGGGAACTCCAGAAAGTTGGAATATGGTTTCAGGGTAGGATACCCTATAATTTACCATAGAAGGGTTAGAATAATGATATTCCAACTTTCTGGCTTTTACCTTACTGGTGCTGCTCTGCGTGCCATTCATGTACACCTGGCCCTTCGTGCTGATGCCATGCTTCCGCTGGGAGTGACACTGCTGTCGTCATGTAGGCTTGTTCCTGCCACTCCGCTAAAACATGTTGACATGCCTTGTTTGGTTGCTGCCGAGGTGGCAATATACGAAGATGGAGCAGGAGAGACATGGAAATAAACCGTGACAAAGTGGATTTACGGTTTTTGGTGTTTAAACACGACTAAACCCTAAACCCTGCTACCGTGATGACTACGACCATAACTTTAAGCTTCCAGGGCTCCGAAATCCCAGAGGAGAGTCTTTCCTTCGAGGGCTCTTTCGCATAAGGATTACTCGGGGTCGCTCCCAGAGACTGCAATATCCCGTAATTACGGATATACCTTAGTTTATGGTAGGACTGTTCGAGGCAAGTAGAATGACTAGAATAGCGTTTTGGTCGTACGCATCTCTCGGCAACACCGCTGCAAGGCCGCACTGTCGGAGGGTGCCGCTCGAAAGAGATTAACACAAACCGTGACAGGCAGTGGTGGTGGTAGTGACAAGTAGCGGTAGCAGCAGTGGTAGTGGCAGTGGTAGCGCCATCTCAGCTCAGAATGTTTCTCCGGCAAAGCAGATCCACCACTTGAGATTGGCGCTGAAGGCCCAAGCAAGCCTCGGGCCTCTGCAAATTTAGCCGTGCACATCAGCCGCATCTCCAAACAAGATGAAGTCAACTGCTCTTGCAATCCCACCACTCCGAGCCATCTGCTGGCTCAGCTCGCCGGCTGCAAGCCGGAAGGAGCTCTCAGGCTCCAGCATCTGCCGCACGGCAGATCGGAGAGCCGTGGGCGACAAGGTCTCACTGGGGAATTTGAAGGACACGGCCGCGCCGGTGTCCACCAAAGCATCGGCATTGAAAGGCTGGTCGTGGAACATTGGCACAATCACCAAAGGCACGGCCAAAGCTATCGCCTCGTGGAGGCTATTGGCTCCCCCATGCGTAATGAAGACATCAGACTTTTGAAGCAGCTGCAGCTGCGGCACAACTTCTTGGAGAATGAAGTTCTCAGGAGCGGGAGGGAGACCCTCGAGTGCATCGAGTTGGGGCCCGATAGCTGCCACAACCAGGATATCCTCCTCATGCCCGAACGCCTCGAATGCCGCCTTGAGCACGAACTGGAGAAACTCCTTGCCACTGAAAGCCTGCAGACCATTGCTTTCCGCAGTCGGGCCAAACTTTCGTGCCCAGAATGACGAGGTTGCCACGCTACCCATGGAGACATAGATGACTTTTTTCGACCCTTGCCGGGCTTCATCAATAATCTTCCAAGGCAGCTTCTTGTCCAGCTGCTCTGCCGAAGCCCAGGCATGTGAAATCCTTGATTCCTCCGAAGCGATCAATGGGCCGACACATCCTTTCTGGTTGTGCTTTAAACCCTTGGAAAATTATCTATGAGTAGGTCCCTTTAGAAGGAAATAAGGGGAGTTAAAATTATCCCAAAGCACAACCCAGCATCGAAAGGGCACCTTCGCCAGGCGCTCCGTTTGAAAGCTTGAGGAGGGAGGCGCAAATAAGCGCTCGAGCGTCGCGACCGTGTTTCTATCCATGGAATAGAATTCGCCGATGGTGCCATGCGCAAAGATGTCGATGCCGCACACCTCCTTGATTTCTTGCGCTGCTCTTTGGACCACTGGATTAGTCTCTAAAGATGCTTGAGAGCTTACCACACCAGGGCCAGTGAAGGTCAGCAGGCTAACTGACGGTATGTGCAACTGCTTGGCAACAACGAGGCCCTGTGGCAAGAGCGGGTCATACAAAATCAGCGACGGTCTCGGGTGCAGACTTTCCATGTCAGTAAGCAAACTTGGGAGAATTGCAGCTGCCACAGGCACTGCGCTAGCTGGGAAGAGGCAAGCAGTCTTCTCGAGACCATGTAAGTACTTCGTTGCTTGCTCGTCAGTCAAGTCATGGGGCCTTTGCATTTGACGCCAGTTGGCACCGGTGGCTTCCACAACCTCGCGAAACTGTTCATGGACGTAGTAAGTCACCATCACTCCACGGGATTTGAGCTCGACCACAATTGGCAAGGAAGGATTCACGTGGCCCGTTGACGGCATCATGACGAACACCACATGCCCCTCTGACATCTTGGCAGGGAGATAATTTAAAACGTCACAAGCTCAGCCCTGCGCATAAAAAAAACAGCTGCAGCCCCATGCATCCTGCGTGCAGCTTCCAGCCCGCAGTTTCGCACACTGTGCAGCACAGCCACATTTAAGCGCGATCCCAGAATCTACGCTCAGGTCTTATGGTCGGCCTTCTATTTCTCTTTCGGAAATGCTAAACCCTAAACCCTACTAAGAGCCTCTCGCTTCGGCAATGGGGTCATCGTCCAGGACGATGATGCGGCTGTTGTGCTTGGACAGGTTCGATCGCCTTGTGACTGGAACTCTCTCTCTCTCTCTCTCTCTCTCTCTCTCTCTCTCTCTCTCTCTCTCTCTCTCCAGGCTTCAAGGAATGTACCCAACAAGAAAAGGGGCATCTGATTATTGTTGTTCCTACCCTGGCTAGTCTCTCGTCAACTGTAAAATTTCGCTGTTTTTCGGTGGCTTTTATTGTTACAATAGTGCTTTGGTGATAGTTGGGGGTATCTGGTACGAAGTTTGCAACAGGGAATCCTAAGGAGTACGATTTCTGGTCATTCACTACATCATTTCAAAATTTCGTACAGTCTGGTACAGTAATGTGTAGTATAGTATCATATATTGTATTGCAATATCTGGGTATCATACTGTATACAGATACAGATAGACAGATAGATAGATAGATAGAGGTGTGGGCCACGAAGAAGCTCAGGCTTGAAAGGTCGAGGTGGAAGGAACACGAAGGGAGGAGAACACTTGCCGAGAAGTGTGATGGTACATCAAGTCGGAAGAACTCTTCCCGGAAAATGTTCAGGGCTTAGGCTTTGCATTTTAAAGCTTAGGGTTTAGGGTTTGCTGAAGGGTTAAGGTTTAGGGGACATCATGTCCTGCGAAGATGATCCTCACCCCCCGGGGTATAGGCTAAATCAAGCAGCATAGTAACTCGGATGGCGAAAACATGGCAGTTCTCCAGTGTGTATATGGCCGTGACAAATCCTTTTGGTGTATCATACTACAAAGGTATTAGGAAGTGCAAAGATGTTATTACTACCTGTTTCGCCCTCAGGGTAGGTTTCCTGAGCTCTCGCCAAAACTCTATCCAAGGGGAAAAGGAGGGACCCTTAATGGGGACCCCTACCCTATAATGGGCTATATAATGGGTATATAGTAGCTATATTAAGGGTATATACCTAGGGGTCCTTATTAAGGGTCCCTCCTTTTACCCTGGGACTCTACTAATCGCAGCCCGGCCCACGCAATTGGACGGTGAGCATCGATCACGAAGCAGCGGAAGTCCTCTGCGGCCTGTTGAAGAAAATTCACACAAGGCGCCATACTCGTAAGGCAACATTAGAACGCATGACAATGGACAATGGCGCGTGATGTTATCTATTCATTCCCTTCAAAATGATGGTACAAAACATTATAAGCAGCTTCACCATGAACTTGACCAGCACCTGCATCATCATCACCACCACCATCATCATGTGATGGCAAGCTCATGCACGAGCAAGGGCCTTTTGGATTTACCGTAGGCATGACAGCAACCTTGATTCAAACATGCTTGTATCTTCTTAAATGTTTGCAAGCTGCAGACACTTGGACCTCAAAAACGGCGTAAGGCTTTTGGGAATAGTGTCACACTACGGGCACCGTACCGGGAGATCTCTACTCATGACTCAGACCTCTAATATAAGGGCCTTAATCATGCGAATAGGGTTTCGGGGCCCATTATACTATAATCATAATAAGGAACCCCAAAAATAGCATACAGCACTACGGCCCCTAAATTAAGCACGTACCATTTCCTTTGAGTAGCCCTTATGGACCCCTTTAAAAGGAACCTAAGTCTCCACCCGATCGGAGCACCTTGCTCTCTGACACGAGCTTCTCAAGGTCGGTGCTCGCCCCGCAATTCAGCAGCACCATGGAGAGCACCTGTTCGGGTCTCGTCGGTTCAGGGTCTTTTTTTGAGGGGTTAGGGTTTAAGGGCTTAGGATTTGGGTGCTACTGCTACCGCTACAACGACGACAACGACCACGACTTTGCCTACTGCTTCTACTTCCTCGTCTACTTCTACTACGACTCCTACTACTACAACTACGACGACGACTACTACTACTGCTACTACCGCTACTACTACAACTACTACTACTACTACTACTACTGCCATTACGAAATGATACTAGTTGTGCACAGTCGATGTGAGGAGGAGGAGTAGTGCCATTCGTGCTGCTGCGGCTACTTAAACCACAAGCTATGAAAAATCACCTCAGACCGAAAGCCATGTTACATTGCATGCTCGAAATGGTGTCCGAAAACCAGAGATTCAAGAAATGAACCCGGCTGCCCTGAACCCTAAACCCTAAACCCTGAACCCTAAATCCCTAAACGCCTAAACCCCTAAACCCCTAAACCCACACACACACACCCTAAACCTTCGGTGTGACGGCCTCTGTGTCGTTCTCCACGTGCTTGATGTGCTGAGCGATGTCCGAGTTCTCCCACACCGGCTGCAAAGTATGCTTGACCTTGGGTTTAGGGTTTAGGGTTGTGCATTCGCAACAACCATGTGTCCCCCCGTTGATAAGGAAGGATTGGGGCAGAAGGGCGGAACAGGGTTCGGTTTTCTTTGTGTTCTGCATGAAGCTATTGGGGAGTTCGCATTTGCAGGGATCGGTGTTGCTCATGTTTTGCATCAAGCTATTGGGGAACTACAATTCGCAGGGTCTTCTTCTGCTT